CTAGTCCCTTTGTAAAGCTTCACTCACCGGTCGGTCTTTAAACGTTGCGACACGTGTGATACGTACATTGTTTGTGTATAAAGGACATTATACTACTTGTATATAATCGTTACATAGATTCAGTAAGATACTTACATAAAGTCTGCACGTTATTGGGGGGATTATATATCAGATAAGGCGATAGACTTACAGGTGGAAGACTAGATACGCCACTCTACACGATATCAGTGACATATGTCGTAATCTTAACAGATAAAACAACTAATTTTAGTCACAGCATCCTTTGATGACACTGTGGTACAAGTTGTATCAATCAGGACTAGAAAACTGAGGTATCACAAGTGTGGTAAATATAGAGATAGTTTATCGCTTTGTTTATCGCTTTGTTGTTGACTTTTCGGATGTTTTAAAATGGAGACCTGGTGTAAGCAGGGTAGTGTAACTGCAGCTGACCTTTTAACCAACACACATCCAAAATGGCCGACACGGCCTGGTACGTGAAGAGTCATCGTTAGTTACAGGACACGTGATTAAGTCATGACAAACGTCTGATATAGAAATAGTGTTTTTATTTGCTGATGTGCAGTGGTAGATTATCATACGGTTGTACGATGTAAAGTACTGGATTATGATAAAGGTTAATGAAAAAAGGTTTTATCTATGGCAGCGGCATACAAACACATAATAAAATTCGTCTTAACATTTAAGGCCATATATCATGCTTTTAATGTAAACATATATATTTGTTGTTATTTCAAATACACATTATTCTACTACGCCCATAATCGAATCCTATTTTCAATGCAGGTCATTACATGTCACACCTTTAGCTTTCGTATGTGCAACTAGATTATTGCTTTTCACTTTTGGAATGGGATAGGAAGATATCAAACACAGCGGGTTGACGGTTGGGGAGTGGGGCGTTGTGGGATATTGTGTCGGAGAGGGACTTAAGATGCCAAAAACATGGGTTGCTGATTTTTGACAAGTTAATAAATTCCCATAGGGGTCCTCATATATATCTTCTCATTGACAAAGGTGACAAAAGGCGCTTGCAAGGGGGAAGGCTAGTATAATTGTAACAATAATGATCACCGATATAGTAGATAGTATCCAGTTAAATTATTTGCTAATGATAAAGGTTCACAAAAGTACAGTTACACAAATTGTTACTTGATTGTGTCTGATTTCACAGTAGATGAGAAAAATGGCTTGGCTTTTCCCCAGGTTAATGTCTAGAGAAATAGAAAAGTATCCTTAAAACTTACACTCCAAATCCACTGCATAGTTGTTACAGGTATTATGACACAATGCCGTATGCTCGACGTGTCACTTCGAGAGTTACTTCCCTTTAATTTTTAAATAAACATCTAGTAATTTGGTATTTAAGACTTCATAACGTTAATGGCAAATAAGAATTAGGACCAGATAAACAATAAACGACTCTGCATGTGATAGACAGCCAGAATAGAGTGTTCGTAAATGCAAATGCAACTCGCTCTTTGATCAAGGTTTCCTTGTGATAGCGCGGAATTGATGCCGACTTTATAGTGCTACCACACTGAAACATACTGCCGGAGACACCCAGCAGGACATCCCACCAGGTCACATTATACTGACAACGGGCGAACCAGTCGCCTCACTCCTAAATTGCTGAGCTTTCAGCAGGAGTAGAAACTACCACTCTTACAGACTCTGGTATGTCTCGGCCAGGGGACATAACCCAAAGCCTTCCTCACAGGGGCGAACGCTCAACTAAAGGCCAAAAGGCACAGGAGATATTAGGGAGAAGAAATTAGTTAAGAAGAAGAGAAAAGATAAGATCCCAAATTTAGTCGCCTCTTACGATCATGCAATGGGGAGAGCAGGTACAATTTTTACGCCCTACCTGCAGGGACATTTTGATAAAGGTAAAGGTTGCTTTTCATGTATACTCATCGTGATTTGGGAGACTGAGTCAAAGATTGAGTGTACATTAGCTGATACGCAACGATATTAATATACACATATCAGTTTTAGTGAACTGACATAAAGTACACTGCTTTTGATTCAATGAAATGAAGTACAAAATACTGAGTAAACAAATTAAGATACATATATAACTTTAAGCAAACTGACAACAAAATTGCGTTGTTAACTTCAGTAAACTGAGATAACATTATCACAAGATTTGCTACGTAGGGATTACGATACATACAATTTGATGAAATAAACATTTAGGACGAAATAAAACAATTTTTCATTCGATGACATCATCATTAAAGAATATACACCAATTCTGATTCGCTTACATACAAATACCGTTCATTTTACACTTGTAATTATCTGACGTAAAGTTTAAGGCACGCATACCACAATTTATTTGTTAGCATACATATTAAGACACGCATACTACCATCAACTTATTAACTTACAGATTGAGACGCGCATACCACTATTAATTTGTAAACATACAGATTAAGGTACGTATACCGCTAATAATTTGTTAACATACATATTAAGACACGTTTACCGCTAATAATTTGTTAACATACATATTAAGAAGACACGCATACCATTATTCATTTGTTCACATACAGTTTAAGGTACGCATACTACTATTTATTTTTTAACATACAGATTAAGACACGAATACTACCATCAATTTATTAACTTACAGATTGAGACGCGCATACCACTATTAATTTGTTAACATACAGATTCAGGCACGCATATCTGTTTAAACTGTTCTGAAACATTTGTGGAACTACAGCAAAGCAAATAATGTATACTTATGCAAGCATTTCATGTAAACGTTGTCAGAGTGCCTTTCATCAACAATGTTATGTTAAACCTTAGGACATTATAGTTTACAAGCAGAATCAATCCCCTTGTGACATAAAAAATCAAAAAATTAAAGACGTTATTATATAAATTGAAATGGTTGAATGCCATCAAGATACATTATTCAAATCAAGGAACAATAGGCCTTCTTCATGAACATTTTTAAACAAATATCAGTACAGGAGCGATACCTTATTATAACATATTTGCAACAAATGTTTGTAATATCATATATATTATTAAACAAGTTCTTAAAATGAAGATTTATAAGTGTCAATTAAGTTGCCATGTTGAAATTAGTAATTGTCCATATATATAAGATCCAATGACTCAAGTCCGTTTATCTGTTCGCTTAAAAGTAGGTATACAAGAAAACAAAATCAAAAGTGAATAGAAAAAGAGAAAAAAAACTTTCCCAGCAATACCAAAGCGTCCATCAACACCGATGTAAATGTAAACGATCACAACAAAGATATCTAAAAAGACATCAAAACAAAATTAAGGACGTCATGTAAATTTGATTACCTCTTTTTGGAATGACTTTGGTTGCTTTCATGAAGACAAGGTGTGTTTGCTTCAGATTATAGGAAAAAGAAATCTGAACACAGACGTGAAAGCAGCTCGTCATAGAAGCAGTTTACACGTCACGAAATACGACGTGAATATAACAGATGATGGATGATCCGGTCGCAAGTTCCAAAGGTTTATAAATGTCGGATGTTAATATGTATGAAGCAATGGCAAAATATGAACGACTGAAGTATTGACTGGAAGACACTTGGAAAGGTACAAGGATAATAACGCCAGGTTTCCGGAAGGTTAAGAGTCCTCTGTTTAATTGTTAATCTAGGTCAAATCAAAGGTAATGAAATGTCCTCAAGCTGAGACCAGCAGAAAAGTGACAACAAAACCACAAGGCATTGTGCCTTGTAATAACAAATAAAAACAATAAATAGATCAACATCACTGTTAATCGTTACATTCTATGCATTTGATAGATAATGTATTTGTGTAATGTAAGGTGAGGTTGACTGTATTAACTGACTCCCTGTATCTGTGCATAACACTATAGGACACAAGGTAGGTTTCATGAGCCTCGTTAGATTTTCGATAATTCAGCTGTACCTTGCCATGTAAATGATTGATTAAACTCTGGCATCGATTTTTGTACGTTTGTACTGCATGATAGGAACTGAGCAGACAAGAGATAAATAAATGGTGTAAGAAATACATTTTGGGGAACATTTTTGATTGAAAAATTGGCATATTAGCTGTTAAGCTTACAAGGCTCATGAAATTAGGTTGAGAGCGATATCCGTATAACGGCGATAAATATAAACTTAAGCTAATAAGCGTGATCATAATGTATGGACAATCGTCATTATGTATTTATAGGTTTTGTGTGAATTCTGGTGATATCTTTTTAATTTAACATTGGATTTCAAAAACAATGTGGTTACATCAGTTTTGCGTTAAAACGTAAATTGATATGATGTGCTAATATTTTGTCAGACGATTATTTTTAATTTAAGATAATGTATATCATTTATAAAAAAAACAGTCTCAGTTACGAAATTGAAATCTGTATTAAAAGCTTTGCAAGAATGACAAAACATTATTTTGATATATAAGTATTATAACTCTTAGTACTACTCCAAATTTTGAAATATATAACAGTAATGCGTTTCTATGCACCTTCCCTTTTGTTTCAAGAGTAGGTTGGATACATTTTGATTTCCGATGTTTTGGCTGCTGGCATCGCCGATGAGTACTAAAAGGCCAAAACGACTGTATAATACTGTTTAACTAATTTTTGCCATACTGTATAAACATGTATTACCAAATGTTAAAGGAGCAATCAACTGTGTGTGTGTTTTACGCCTTCTGTCAAGAAAGCTTTACGGGTTTAATGATAGCGTTTAGAGATGTATATACAAAAATGTACAGGTAGTATCTTAAACAAGTTTTGCTTGTTTGTAAGTATGCACTTTTAAACAGAATAAAGCGACCATGCGTACTAAATACTGCATTATATCACTATCTACTCCAGACCACCTGTCGTTCAGGGTACATACCGCTATGATAACCTGACCAATATGTACAAGGTGAGGGCTATTTACCTGTGTCATGTGCTGAACCAGGTATATTGTTAATCAGTATCTATATCTGTATGCGTGTTCTAGTACCCCTAACGGAGATGGCGGACAGTTGTAACCCGATGGCGATAAATCTGAATCTTGTCCAGGGCTACCGCTGACCACAAAATCTACCGGTCAATTTGTATACCACGGATATAACGCAACGTCGATCATGGGGACGTCAGGTAGTTTTTTTTATTTAACATTACCTTGTTATTTTACCTGTAATATACAAAATGAGTTTGCTGTACCCATATAGATGTAGTGAAGAAATGAAATAAGTACACATGTACTTAATAAACATGCATATTGTGTCATAAAATTCAAATTCATTAAACATATTTTGAATTGGAATGGCTATTGTTAAGGGTTTTGTTTAACAGTAATACATCTATAAAAAATAAATAAAAAAACACCACTGCATTCGGGGTTTCCATCACCCAATACTCATTATCATATGTATAAAATCAAGCAGGAAGTTAATTTACTTTGCTTCTAGTCAAGTTATTTATTAGGTTTATTTTGTTTTGCAACATTTTATGGAAATGATTTTAAAATATTCAAATTTTCTGAAAACGCGTAACGTATAGTTATCTTTCAATGAATAATTTAACAGGAAAAGGGCTATTTTAAAGGCCTGCATACCGTAGAAAAGTGATGGCTCTTCTTTTCCTTAAAGCAAGCTTGAATAATATATATGTACGTTTAAGGAATAATATTACACGGTATCATTTAACTACGTCAATCGGTTAACGGAATATATATATATTTTTTTAACGAGAATGATAATTATATTGTATTAGACATTGAAGTCAGAAAATATAATGTATACCAATGAAATTGAAGTGTTCCCTTGTGTTCATTTCCATGAATTATTCACTTTCAAAATATTGTAAACAATTGTGTATTTATATTTGATATTGAATCAAATGAATGTATATGAAGCAAATTCAGTTTTCGTAATCTTGATGAACGCTGATTACAAATTCCCTGAAAAGGCCTTCACCCTATAATTGTATTTTGAAATCGTGATAACGAGGTCAAATGACATGTTCGACCGATCTGTCATTTGCACATTGGTTTCTCATTACACCAATACACAGTAGATAGTGATTTAGCTAGTGTTCACTGTACGTCACCGGCGTAGGGAGAAGATAATATCAACATAAATATTTTAGTACTTTCTAGTAATTTATATACGCGGAAAACTATATTGAAAATGTGAGGGCGACGTCACGTGACATGTTTGAACGACTAGTCAGTTGCACAATGCTTTCTCCTGATCTAACTTCACACACGATATTGTTAAAGTATTGCTTAGTATACGTCACTAACTTAGGTAGAAGATTTTATCACCTTGTATGCACTTTCTAATAATAAATATACCCGGGAATCTAGGTAACATTACTAGAACAGCAGTGTACCTAAAACAGGACAAGTTCATATAAATATTGATGTATTTTATACCATGGTATCAATTCCATAAATGTTTGTTACTTTTTTCATCAATACATATATCACTCACCTGTGTATTTATTATGTTATGTTGATATATCCGGTACAATGTTCTAAAAATAGAACGCGAAATATTATTAGGGTCGCGTAGGCTCTTGAACAGGTGTAAATGTATCCTGAAAGGCACACTGAAATTTAGCTATTATTAGGGGATAAGAGATCAATATAAGCAGACCACCATATACAATAGAGAAAAAGGAAGATATAACAACCGAAAAAAAGTAAGCTGCTTTCACCCTTCACATGGCTCTTCATGTTTATTTCAAAAGAACAACTTCGTGACGTCTCAATTGCTTGTCATCACACTACAATAGTAACGTGACGTCACGAAGTACACAAGATTGGTGGAAAACTCGCGCAAAACTTTCCTGTGGCCTGTTGAGATTTGGTTTTGATATTGGGATTAATTGATCATCTTTCTTTTCTCATAAAATAGTGTCTAATGAAAATAGTTGATACAAAGGTAATACATTAAATTTATCTCCAATACAATAGTTTATTAACAAGGGGGGTTCTTATTAAAGTTCTTCTCCAAAGTAGCATTAGTTTAAAAAAAAGGTTCTTGAAAATAGACGACGTTGCACGAGGTGTCAAGTGTCACTTAAGAAAGTTATGTTTTCAATATTGTTTCTAAACTGTCCGTGTAACCATATTCAAAAACAAATGAAGCAGATATACAACTGAGCTGACAAAGGTATCATGCAGTAAAAATCGTACACATAAAAACATTTCCTTGATTTGCATGCCAGTTTCTTGAGGCACTTTCCCACCAATGTCCCATTTTGGGTACAGTGACGTTAGAAGAATAGGGTTTATCTTGTATATACAAATATACATTCACACACTTACGTTGTTCTAATGTAACTTCAGAGTTGACTGCGTTCTGTCTTACCAAAAATACATTAGTTGTCGCCGTTTTGCAATCGTTCATCTCCAACTGCATTCGATCTGCTGTTATATCTCCGCATTTTTATCATCCTATCATCTACATATGTTTGTTAATTTCTGCGGTTCAGTATTATTCCGATATTTAATATACAATTATAATTTTCTCCCAAAAGAATATGTATAATAAAGTGTTGATTTAGGTAAAGATTAAACATTGTGAAAAGAAATCACAAATGCTATTTCATTTTCGCTTGGAGGATATTTGAATTTCTATCAATTTTCTTGATAGTTAATTACTTGATTTTTATTTGAATATTTTGGCCTTCAATGTCACTAATTATATATAATGATATTTGATATATTGAAACATACATGTTCAGTTCAATTGTGTGATATTTTTGATACTACAACTGTCTTTTCTGCCTTAGGGAACATATTTTAGTACATTAATTTTGTTAAACTCTAATTCCAATAAAAAAAACCGCTTCATAGCGAATACGTTTACTTACAGACATTAATAGAAATATGCTAGTGATAAAATGTGTTCATTAAATTTAATGCAGCGATCTGTTTAAACAGCAGTTAATTTTCCAAAGTTTTGTTATTCAACTGATTTTCACACATAACATACGTTTAACTTAGTTCACTCCTTTCAAGTTCTTAAACATAAATAATTAAAACCGAAACATTTAATTAAATCAAATTTGAAGACTTTTCACTATCAAAACAGATTTACAAAAGTAACCCTAATAGATGACCTACATCCTATACTTATCACCGAGTTCATCCTTGTTCAAGTTCAAAATGAACTTTTGTTGCATGTATTATTATAAAAAAGCTTAGCAAGACGAGTAAAAATTAGTTCAAAAGTAAATAAGTTAATAAATGAATAAAGGGAAACAGTTGCATATTTGATCACTTTTTCACAGAAACTACGAGATCAAACATATCAACTTATTGTTATGCTATAAGCGTCTTGTTAATATCATTGTGAATTTATATTAATAGTTGGAATCATTGTCGATATAAATGACATTCATATAACTGAATTTTAGAATAAAATTAATTGCAAACGATTTATGTTGTTGTGAACTTGTCGATAACTATTAAGAAAAGAGGTTTTAGTTCGTGATTGAATGTCTTCTTATGAAAGTTATACATCTCGACATATCATTTGTAATCAATCGTTGGATCTATCCTTACTGATTACAATATTTACTCCTAGTAAATAAATGTCATCTTGCTGTTAAGGTCAATTGTAGGGCGAAAACACTGCACAAGTGTGATTATCTTAAACTTACATTACAAAATGAATATGCTCATTTGTTTGTGCATTTCCATTACGATTACAACTTCCACATGTAACAGCATAACTTACTCGAAGGAGACACTTGGTATACAATTTAAACACTTATATGTTACCGCTAGATGATGTATCGCTTATAAATATCATCGTCCTTCGTCCATATCACAATGTCTGCATTCGAGTTCGAAAACAAACTAAAAGAAACCAAACAAATACGGAAATGTACATGTACTTTTTTAACCTAAACTCGGTCTTAAAATCGATGAAATTACAATATTTGTAAGGTAATAAAATCCAATATGATAGTAGTGCCAAATCAGAGAGTCCACCTCCAAGGAAGAAGTGTCCCTCTCATTGCCTGTAGTTTGGAGTACTGAGTGTATGGTTTGGGGTCGGGTGATACATTTTTTCTACCAAATATCACAGACAACGTTAGTCTTGCTTTCAATTCAATGGTTCAAAGCGTCTACTAGAATATTTTATGTTAGCATTGGAACTGTGTAAGCTTTTTTTGGTAGGAAATGCACGACAGGTTTCGCATTAATGTTGTTCCGCAGTTTAAAATGCTTCAAATCCTGACGTGTCTAAAACGTGAAACAGATAAACAAGATCGAATTTACATTGGTTGTTTAGTACAAATTAACCTAAATTAGAAATAAAAATAAAGAAAGAATAACTTATTCTTCCAATAAAAGTTCCAGTACTTATAGGACCCTGTATCATTTTACTCAGATTCTTTGATCAATCTGCTTTGACGACGTGGGACAATTTCAATGATTTACAAAGCTGCTTTAGTGTGGGAATCGTTCAACAATGTCGGATGCTTTCCTTTAGCTTTGGTATCTTCTCTGTGCCTTGTGTGTCTTTTGATGCCGATTGTGAGCTATCCTGCTAGTGCTGACGCTATCATATGCTTTACTTGTAGAAAACACGACAGCAGCCGGTCCTGGCAAGACCAATCTACCGGATATGAAAGGGGACGTGGATTATGTAAACCATGGTATGGAGGACCAGATGGTATGTTACTCCAATTAAGATAGAACATAGGACCATAGGATAGAACATAGGATACAATAAGACATGGAAAGCATTAGAACGATCGGTTCAACATTTGGGCGATCTTTGCTTATTAACAATAGGATATCAGTATTAATTGAATTTATTTCAACTACAGTTGCATATGTTCCTTTTTTTTCTCTTTTTAGAAAAAATATGCAACGATTCCTTATTATATTATACAAATTGAACAAATTAGTATTACATGTAGCTCTCAACTTGTTTCCCACTCCTTCTGAAATTTCATGTATACAATAACCTTGCCTGATTATTGAATAAAATACTGTTTAAACTAAACTTGATTTAATTTCAATTTCATTTTGGGAGTCGATTCATCCTATCAAATGTCTGTCATCCCTATCAGATTCATAGTTCTCATGATTAATAGTTCAGTAGTTTTTTAAACGAAATAGGAAAATATGCTCTATATCTATAAGCGGCGAGTAATGTTACTACGTTTTGGCAAATAACCATTCGTAAGTTAAATATATGGTATATACATATTTGATAATTACACAGATAGAGACATATGTTTAGTGTTGCACTATTGTCTATTAATCCACATGATTACAAAGTAAATTAATTTGCTGCAACAGGAAATACAAGGGTACATCCGGTCAAAGATGAAAACGGCTGTAGTAATATTCTTTTCCGTTATAACTGGCGGGTTACTGCGCCTCTTCCTGTTCTGGTTCCCGTACCTCTTAGTCATGTGGACTCACCGAAAGTGCCAAATAGATGTCGCCATAATTGTAATTTTGAAGGTAAGAAGATTCGAATGTTTTCTTTTCATAAAAACACTTACTTATTAAAAACGGCAAGCATTACATGCCTTGCTATTTTAAACATGTTTGAGCTTTGAATAGACAGTACTTTATAAATATAATGGGAAATGATTGGGAAATGAGGTAAAAGGGTTCCTTAAGTACAAAAAAAGTCCTTGTGTCTACCTTCGTGCTTTCGATTCTCCAAAAAATGCATCCAACATGGAGACATGATTCAAACAACACGACCATCGTGTATGCTTGCAAGGCAGGGAACAAAGCTAATCGGACCATTTTGATGCATTTAATCAAGTTTCATACTTGCAGAATCAAGATAAAATATAAAAGATATCGTTTGCTAGAAAGGAATATCGACTAAAAAAATAAACAACGTATATTGTAATGTTAAAAAAAGTATTCCGCACGTACATACAGTATGATCTGTAATAAAATTGTATCAAGTTGAACCATTTTCAATACATAAATGATAATAAATATTTTTCTTGAATCCAAATTTTGTTTTTACAGGACCAGTTCAATCAGCGGCATGTAAGTGAGGTTATGACAGCCATGGTGGACAAAGGATACAGTGCTATAACAGGGTAAAATAACTGAACATACTGAACATCAGGATTTTTTGGCGAGTTTCTTTATTTTTTTGTTTCATTCGCGAAATTACGAAATCACACAAAAATAAACCGCAAATTTTCCATCGCAAACCAGAAAATACCAAATAACTACGTAATAGCATTATAATGGTGATCAAAAGAGGATAAAGGAATTCAAATTCCCAGCCCCTTGATAAATCGTGTTCAAAGACCCAAGTTTGCAATTATAATTCATATTTGTACATTGTAATATGAATATGTTACTATTTTTTATAAAGAGCTTATATGATTAATTTCATTTATTTGCATAACAGGTCCAGTCTACGTTCATCTTTCAAACGCTCGGTATCAAACAATTTTTCTAAAAGGAGGACGAGTGATACCACACCGTTATTGAACTCTGATGACAAGGTAAGATATTGGCTTACAGAGGAGAGAAACGCATCACAACGATGGCTACGATGTTGTCTTATTATACTTTCTTTAAAATATTTGGCGGCCATTCTGGATTTTTGCACCATATTTGAAAACATCGCTTAGCCTGTCATACATAACATGATTAGTATATAATCCTCTATATGTATATAAAGGTTTTACTATAAAGAATATCATTCTTCTGATATAATCGTCACTTTGCTTGACTATTTCAACAAATATTAAGGTTCAACTACCACAGTTAAAGAAGTCGATGATGAGGCATAAAGGCTGATTTTTTTACATTTTTTTTTGTATAACTTGTTATCTATTCAAAGGACATTTAATATAGTATATATACATATGTTACAGTATGACTTTTTCTCACTCCACACAATTACTGTTGTGATTTCTATTGAAAATAAGGTTCTTAATTAGAAATACATGTAATCTATATATATCTACATGTTTATTACTTTTATTGGGAGTCTGAATAGGAGAAGTATTCGGTGTCAGAAAGAAAAGGCTGATATCTTAGTAAAAATATTCAACCGGACTTATTACATGTCAATTTCTTTTATAACTCAAGTGGATTCTGCGAAATGACATATTCTTTTTAGTTTATTTATATACCTAGGTCATAGTAAAACTTCATAATAACACTTTACCAATATATATAAGTAAAACCAATGGCCTTGTGGCCGTAACGAATACATAAAATGTATGTTAAGTCCTCTCGTAACATTTAATGCTGTTATGAAAAAACTAGACAGGTTATCGATTTTCAATGTTTATAACATTTGTAGCGCATTAACCATATTACAGACTGCTATGAGATGGCACATCATTTAAAGTATCATTATCGATCTGGATAATATAGCTTTTGTTTTCTAATTTATGCCTGTTTAAATATATGATCAGGGAATTTCATAACGATATAGTGGTTTCGAATTGTAACATGTATCTTGGTTTGAGGCCGTCATGCCTCTCCGGAGATAGTCAAAGGGAACATAAGACCCGAACGATCTAGCTGTATAAATGAAGTTGTTAATTTGTATCAAAATTAACCATGGAAACTTATTATAATGATACTCATATGGCTGCAAAAATATATTCGACTTCAAAATATATACATTTCAATAGAATCTAGTTATATTTGATTGTGCTTTGTATCCTTTCTCGTAACTCGTATATTTATAATGAAATACCATCGTGTTGTATAATGAAATATCATCTTGTTTCATTATAAAATATCATCTTGTAGCATTACGAAATAGCTTGTTGCACTATGAAATATCATCCTGTTTCATTATGAAATACCATCTTGATGCATTATGAAATACCATCTTGTTGCATTATGAAATATCATATTGTTGAAACTTAAACTGCAACACACTTAAACGAAAGAAAATACAAATATCTATATATATATAGTATTTGACATGCAATTATACGTCACAACGTATGACGTCATTTAGCTGAACAGAAATTTACTTGGTATAAAGACAGTTCAATGTATTGAACTTAATACAACTGGCCTTAAGTAAAGGTTTGGATGCACTTGCTAACATACTCCATATAGTCACTTTAGAACATTTCATATGATAAGACAACAATTTGGATATCTTAAACTTTTCGAAAAAGAAGTGAATTTACAAAGTGAGGTTGTGTCTACTAACAGTTCGGAAATTTACTTGCGATTCATATTTATTTTGTAAAAATACTGAAGCTATCTTTAAATAAACAAACAATGATTTTTCTAGTTGGAATTCGATGTCGTTCGTTATTTCATCTCAAAGAAAGTCAAGTACGTATGGAATCCCGAAAAAGACCTCTTTGAAAAACTCAGGTAAGTTCTTACACGTTTTATCAAAATTATTAGTCTATGGCTTAGTTGTTCATAGCTTCATTTACATTACAGCATGTTGAACATAAATGTTTTACTTCAAATATCTTAACTTTTGCGAATTCCTTATTCTCACTTATTTGGATGTAATATATAGTCAATGGTATATATTTGGAATATGCGATCAACCCGCGAATATATATTTCTCGAATTTTAAGCAATATACCGTAAGCAGTTCTAAACAAAGGATTAAAACGAGAAAAAAAACACCACAAAAAGATGACACGACTCCGTATACTTTGAAAAGTTAAGCCCAATTATGTTTCAGACTTAATTTCGTGATCGTATTAGAAAATATTCATGAAATATGCATATCATACCTACTTCATATACATATTTCATTTTAAGCATTGCATTCGAAATGTAATGCAAGGACTCAGGATATACTGACTTAAATTTCATCATATACTCATGTGCTGTACAATATGATTTTTATGGGGTACGATTTTTGTGGGAAAAAAACTACCAGAGAAATAAAAATAATTTAAAACATTCTTACCGTAGCATTATATGGGCCTTTTCATGAAATCTTCAAAAATTTGGGACCACGAAAAAAATGACTTTAATACTACCTCAAATGTATTGGTTTATCGAAAATTCTACTTCATTAATTATATAATATTTAGTTTAACTTATATTGTCTGGCATTCTTGAATCACATATCATTCGTATCTTTGTCTTCACAACTCGTTTTTAATTTTTGGTAGACATAATTATTTTACAGTTACAATGAATATGTCTTTATCTGTCAATATAAATCTACCTTTACAGGGGTTTGGAACAATCAACATCATGTTCTTACTTCCACAACACTAAAGGACAAAGCAGAGCAGAACAAATTAAGAGGTATCGTACATTGTTTATTGGTGAACATATCATAATGTGCAGTTATCCAATCCAGAAAATAATCCACTATTGTATAAAAAACAATGCTATAATATCAAAATACAATGCTATATTATCGATTTGGAAAAACGGTTTTCGATATGAATTATCAGTTTGGTATGATATGTATGAATGTGTAATATGTTAGGATAACAAACTGTTATACAAGTTTAAAGTTATATGTCAGTATCGACTAATATTTGACGTTCCTTAGAAAAAAATGTCATAATTTATTTCAATACTGCTATTGATTGTGACAATCTAAATCGCCTTAGAAAGTCAGTTCGCATTCCTTAGGGGTTAACTAACAAAAATGTGTGATTAATATTTGTTTTTCTATGATTATTCTGAATGCTATCAATTCTTACAGTTTGTAAATGACAACATACAGCCATTCCCTCCCATCCCCAATGGATATGACTAACTCTTATACTCCCATAGGGATATGTAGTTTTATAAACGATCACTCATTGTTTCAGTCGAGCAACTTATGGCGTGAATCGAATTGATGTCAATATCACTCCGCTTTTTCAATTATTTTTTCTGCAGGTAGGTGACATAAATTTCGTATAAATATTTGAAATTAGTTTCTTCTCATTAAAATAGAAAAAAAATATAATTGGATTTGCGTATGGTTTACTAATGCATACATAGTATCTCATCTAATGACGTTTGGTAATTTACTTTCTCTATTTTCATTCAATTCAATATAAAGGAAACAAATTTGCATGTTTCCTTCCAACAAGGCCAATACATACTTAGTATTCACTTTTTCTAAGGATGTTTGATATTTCACTTAAGTAGTGCAAATTATACAATTTATGAGTATATCATAAACTGTACATCGTTTCAATACTAACAATTTGGACCACTAATGTTACAGGTCTTGTCGCCTTTCTACGTGTTCCAAATGTTTAGTGCCACCGTCTGGTTCATAGAATGGTATTATTACTACGCCGGGTTCATTGTCGGGATATCGATTCTTTCCATGTCAGTGGCAATCTACCAGACTAGAACGGTTAGTATCACTAATTCAAAATAAACTATACAGTACTTATCCAACTTACATCAGAAGCAATATTGACCGCATCATTATACTAAAAGCTTATATTCGATATTCTCTGATTTGACTTGTATTTGTGTACCATTCTGACCAAAGAGAAATGCAATTCAAATTGGCGAGTCCTTATCATCTAGTTTTGTATGTAATACAGTTTGGGGTAAGTCTGGCTAGTATTCGGGATTTATTGGCGGCAAAAAAAAGGTCATTGACACTATGCCTGCTGTATCCCACTGCATGATTGTTAGGGGCGACTAATGTGTGGGACACCCTGCATAATTGGGGGTGGTTTCTGCCCTGTCTTCTTTTCAGGGGACATTGAAAAAGACAGAGAATAGACCTCCTTTTTCCCAATTAGATTTGTCTTGGAAAAGGAGACTAATATCGGGCCTCTGCAAAATCGGGGGTTTTCTTCCATGTCTTCTACAAAGGGGATATGGAAGAGACCAAAGGACTTGTGACAATATGGGTAATTTTTGGCATCATAAAAAGTAAAAAAAATCAACTTTAATTTATAAACCAATTTATGTTATAAAAGTCATATTCTTTCATTGGAGCTATATTTCTTGGTGCGGATTATTTTCAATGCGTAGATGCACTACCATAGCAACAAAATTACGTTGCTAAGCAAAAATAGCAAAAATGTTGTGATTTTGGACAGTTGATATGCAGATTTGAAAGCCTCCGCATGTGACAAACAAATATTCCTTTTTACGAATGAACACTTGAATGACAATGTTAAAGTTTGTCAAATATTTATTTGTTTGGTGAATGCGCAGGCTTTCAAAAATTAAAGACGGTTTAATTAGTTTGTTGCAAAATGGCCAATTTTCAATGTAATAGAACACAACAGGCGACATTTACGCATACCTCTCTTTGATATGCCATATATCCTTTACAAGTTGTGGGTTAAATTCGAAATTTCATGTTTGCATACTTCATTTTTGTCAAGATTTCGAATATATCAACTGATTATAAATCTCTGATGAGGTCAAAGATGAACCTTAACGCCCCTAGTCCTTTAACCTGCTGCCAACATTGCTAAACTTGGGATGTTTTTCGTTTCCTATATTTCTTTTCTATCTACTTTCTTTTTCTGGCGTTGTCTCTCTAAGCAGCCGTCCCCAATAACATTGGCTGTAACAAGGCATTATACCCCAAACAAACAAACAAACAAACAAATAAATAAACAAGCAAACAAAAAATAAAATAAAAAAAAATGTGTGCAAAGCCTGTACCCTGACAATGATTTATTAATGAGAACTGAGAAACGCCGCGAAAATACTCCAAGAACTTTGATCCCTCTTTGGGACTAGTCCCTATTAGCGAGTTCCTTTGGAGGTTGACATGCAATATCGAATGTGAGAGATTTCTAGTTTTTTATTATCATTTCAGACTGAATTAGCATTACGCAGCACAATAGAATCGTCTTCAAACGTTCTTGTGTGCCGCGGAAAGAATGGTACGTACGACGAATCTGATTTTGTATATACTGATAGGGAAAGTCCTTTCAAATGAATTGATTAAAGGATCGAAATATTATTATTGCATTGACAGCAATTTGTTTGATTATAATTTTGTATGATGTTTACCGACGTTATAAATAGTGTTTCTTGTAAACCTTATATTCACATGTTAAAATGCGTACGTATCAATTACAATACTTAAATCCAAGTTTTAGATATTCCTTTAATATTAGAACTAGCATTTTTATATCACTAATATGGTACAGTCGGCACATCATATTTTTACTCGTGTTTTGCTTTTAAAACAATACTAAAAAACATATTCTGGAATGATGTACTATATATTTGATTTCCAGAGGAAAAGCACTGCCACTGATCACCACTTCAATATTATTTCAACATATATCTGTTTACTGTAACATATTTATACCGGTTTCGGCTTAAATTAATACTTACTTCATGCTAGACTAAACAAATCGCTATATGAATAAATTAAGCAGTCACATCCCTTATACAATCAGTCTCAGTCCAGAATGTCTCTGCCGTGGGCTTTGGATACGCAGATACATAGTTTGTATTTCATTGCTTTCAATTGTTACTGCGTCATCATTTTTTCTTTTTAGTTTATTGTTTATTTTGTTTTTATTTTTATTTTTTGTCATTCAAAATATTCGTCGTGTCCAAATATTCTATCGTAACATTAAATGTATGTATGTATTTCAGTGTATGAGGAGATATCTTCCGATGATCTGGTTCCCGGTGACGTCATAGAGATTCCAAGACGAGGCTGTATGATGCAGTGTGACGCAGTTCTCGTGTCTGGAAACTGTATTGTAAACGAGGGCATGCTTACAGGTACAGTTTCAATAATGACGGTGAAAGATAAAAATTGAACATAGTATTATATATGTCAACGTAAATAATCAATCACAGGACAAAGTTGGGACAAAGTTAGAATATGTTTCTACAAAGCACTGCATAGAAAATTCCTGTGTATTCAAGGAAGCGCTGCTAATACAAAATAGTAATGCCCTCTGCGGCATATCATTAGCATGCGATCAAAATAAAAGTTATTTTCCTTGTTAATAAGGAACTCCCAAAAGCACTTGTCTGTCTCGGTCCCAAGTCGGAAAAAAGCTGAGTATGCCGGTATCTCCCAGAATTCACTGGGGATGTTTTTCGTCATCCTATATAAGTCTTCACAATCGCTGCCATTAGATGCTGAAGCACTCTTCATGTACTACAATCGCTCATTGTGTGACTTATGGTGACGTACGTTTATAGAAATTTGTAGATACTTCCTGAAACTTGCCAAATAGTTGAGATCATCAAAACACTAAGTTAATAAAATATTTCTTTTTGACTTACATCATCAAATAATGTTAATTTTGTTTGATATATAAGAATTTAAATTTTTTGATTGGATTAATGTACCTTACGTGTTACATACACGTTAGATTGTTTGACCATTTATACCATACCTCATACCCAGCTGAAGGAACGCCTTCATTCTCATACTGTCGGAGATTTGTTTTCCAATAAGGACGAAGTGCGAAGGGCGATATAAATGAATGAAATGATTTTTTTTTTGGAGCACATATTTTCGAAAATTAGAAAATCACTACCTCAGTTCTCGTTGTGAGGTCGTGACATTGCTTGGATTAAATCGATTTTGGAGCTCGAATAATAGTTTTGTTGACATTTCGGTTTTCATTTTTGTGTTTCATATGTCGAATGGGTTATAACATACAAAAATGTACCCCGATGGCTACAATATATACAATTAGTTTCAAAACATATTATTTTACTTTTATCATATGCACAACTTCTTTTAATGGACTTATCTAAATGTTCTATTTCATTTACATCAATTCATAATGCAAAAGATAGATCGCAGAGTTGTTTTTGTTTTTGCTCAGACTTAAGGTTTGCTTTAATGTTGAATGAGGAAAAACAGATTTTAATTTTGTAGGAGAAAGTGTGCCAATTACAAAGACACCTCTCCCGAATCCATCAATGTCAAGATCACAGGAAGATGTCATGTTTAGTATGCGCGAGCATGCGCGTCACGTCTTGTTTTGTGGTACAAAGGTCATCCAGACTCGATACTATGACAACCATAAAGTGCAAGCTGTTGTTATCAGAACAGGTAATATTCGCAACCTGCAAACCTTTGATTATTTATGGAGTGTGGCGTTTAAAAGCAATCATTATAATACATTTAATAAGTCACAGATATATAAAAAAAAACATGCATTTTTGGATAAATTTGTAATGCGCCTAACAAGAATTGTTTTTTTTTTAATTTTTAAGGTTACAACACAGCTAAAGGTGAACTGGTAAGGTCAATCATGTTCCCAAAGCCCATTGACTTCAAGTTTGAGGTGGACACGTATAAATTCTTGGCTTTTCTTGCATGTCTAGCAGCATTCGGATGTGTCTACACATTCTGGGTCATGGTAAGAAACATCAAGAATGATAAATGTTCTCTTTGTATATAACTCAACTTATCATTTATTAAATAGAAGATATTTAATGGGCCTCAGTTGAATACCGTGCATGTTTTTCTCGAGTATAGCACCACACACATTTTTCACGAAATTAATATATACATGTATTGTATTCAACCGGGAAAACAAAAATATTACTGCATCAAAACAGTTTCTGTTTGGGATGTAATTGTAAAAGCGTGATCTTTCGCGCCATATTCTAATGGTGTCGTGCTTGACAGCAAGGCTGCACGTATTTTGAAAGGGCTACTCAACACAATTTTACTGAATCTACTATTATCGGTAGGATTTACTCACATAAACAATATCAACTGTGTAGGTAAATGAAGTGAAAAGAAAGTTCCTTCATGATTGGTCGATTTTAAAAGTTATATTTTTTAATATATGTTTCNGGGGGGGGAGGTACTTCAATCAGCTTGTCTGTTTGTCTGTCTGCAGAAAAAGTTTGCTACCACCTGACAAAACTTCCACCTGAAGTTGTGCATCCATGTATTTATTTTGCATACTGACCCTTTTTTACGAAATGATGGCCCTTTGCGGACAACTCCTCCAACACTCCTGAGCCAAATTCAACCAAAGTTTTCCGATATGACAGCTTTTACCTGATATTGTGCACCCTTTTTGCGGAGATGTTGCCCTTTGTTCAAAAAATCTTGTCCGCACGACTTCTCCAAAACTATTGGGCTAATTTCAATGAATGTTTTCAGATATGTGATAACTACTACCTGATGTTGTGCATCCAGGTATTGTTTCCAACACCTTTTTATGGAGTTATGGCCCTTTTTTGAGAAGCATTTTTCATGACAACTTACCTAATCGACTTGGCCAATGTCAAAGAAAGTTTACATATATGGTAACTTCCCCCTGACGTTTTGCATCCAATTAGTACTTTTTCATTCCTACCCTTTTTAAAAGGAGTTATGGCCCTTTGTTGAAAAAAACTTTGTCTGCCTCCTAAACCACTGGGCAAATTTCAATGAAAGTTTACAGATATGGTAATAACCCCTTGATGTCATGCATCAGGGTATTGTTTTTTGGGCTAACAAGATTGGGTTGCATGTATGTTTTGACATTTGGAGGGAGTACAGAAAGTATGTGAGTGCTATACATACTTAAATAAGTGAACAGCTCGGCAAATAAAGAAATCATTACTGGTGGGAGACTGGTGCAATGTTTTGCCTAAGTAAGCCTTTAGCTTACAGTTCTGGATTATATAGGAGCAGGGGGTATAAGTTAGCCATTGGCTACAGTTCTAGTTTTATCTAGTTGATAGAAATTGATATTTCACTAGCAAAATTTGTAGTAAATAGTAATGTAAGTATTAAGTTGGAAAACATATATACAATTAAACACCTTCTCAAAGACGATATCCCGAAGTCTAGAGAGTTGTCTCTGGTTAAAGATGGTCCCTTAATACAGGTTTAATTTGTTAACATAAAACTCATTGCAATTGGTAGAATATAGAACTAAATAGAATATCAACTACGAATCGGATCTGTTTTAACTTCAATAGTCTTAAACATCAGGTATGGCATTTACCATATACTCAAATTGAGTTAAATATTTACTTTGTTTGGCTTTTACCATCTTCAAACGAAATTTTCAAATAGGACCTTTTCCGTATAATGATGGTTATTTATATCACATTACATCTCCAACACGCACACAGGCATACACACATAGAGAGATATAAGCCAGGTGACATATGACTATTAGTTAGCGCCTGATAAATCAGCTCCTGCGAATTCCTCATTTGTTATTGCTTAATGTATGTGGTAATTGTATTAATTATATATCTATGTACTGTAAAGCGCTTTAGAATGGCTTATCTTAGCTAGATAGGGCGCAATATCAAATGCTGCATATTTTTATTATTATTATTATTATTATTTTATACCACAAACGTCCTATTTACCACCTGTTATAAGTATCCATATCTCTTTAAAATAGGCGGGCAGAGATTTACCAGCTGATGAGGTAATTCTCATGGCACTTGACCTCGTGACAGTAGCCGTGCCTGCTGCACTTCCGGCAGCTCTGACCATTGGAATAGTGTTTGCACAATATAGACTGAAAAAGTGGGGGATCTTCTGTATCAGTCCGAAGAGAATCACTGTTAGTGGTACTCTAAACGTCGTCTGCTTTGACAAGGTAAATGTTGGAAGATAATTCTTAACACTGAACAAATCATATGCTCTTTTCTGGTATTGTTTTACAATTGGAAAAATCCAGGACAATGTAATCGCGCTAACCTGATAAACGATCAACTGAGAATTGCATTAAACGTGGTATTAGACGCTATGATCCCACAATCGATACAATCATTGTAATTCTTTAGTCGCTGAAAGCATGCATCATGATTGGATGATTTTTTTAAAGCATCATGATTTGAAAAGAAAAATCCCATTCAAATAAGATAAAAGGATATGAAACTGGAATGATCCGACACAAGGTAGGAACTGCTGACTTGACGTTCGAAATCCATTTCTGAACAATCTTGTTTCTCAACAGACAGGTACAATAACAGAAGACGGCTTGGACATGAAGAGCGTTATACCAGTCACAGAAGCCAAGTAAGTGGCCATTAAATGATAAATGATTAAAAAAAATATGTAAGTTATTGTGAAGTTAACATTAAATCAGTATATATATATACATATAAAAGTGCGTTGAACACGTGAAAAAAAAAAATATGTACACTTGGCAATGGGATGGCGACAAACCTAGCGCGCTTCAATGTGTTAATGTCTGGGGAATCGGATACTATTCATTCATAAAGCAGATCTGTCTCCAAAATGTCAGTTATTGTATAATAATAATTTGCTGTTACCTTCAAACTCAATTTTGAATTAAGATATATTTACAATATAGAAATCAATCGTTTCGAATGTGTTACCATAATACGCACTTGTATGTTGTAAATGGTTTTATTGAATAACACGTAATTGGCAAATGCTTGTATCTACGAAAATATTTATCAAACATTTTCTATGTTTCCTGCTTTCGCAAAATTTGCGTTGATTTACTGTTTTTATGGTTGTTTAAAAAATCGAATTCCTCTATGTTAATAAATGGTAGACATTGAAATATGGTAATACCGAGTACATATTAAAACCAGAACAATAAATCAAGAATCTACATAACAATAAACGATAAGTGTGTTATGATTCTCTACAGGTTTCACGGAGAGGTTACCTCATTATCTACCATGACTAGGAGTCCCATCATGGCTGCCATGACAACCTGTCATTCTTTGACAATAATTGACGATGAACTGTGCGGTGACCCCATTGACCTGATAATGTTTGGTGCAACTAATTGGGTGAGCGAAATTTATCTTCTTGTCTAAACTTTATTTGTATGCGTACAAGCTGAAGAAAAACATGAAAAGTAGCTGCTGTTTTAACTATTTTGCCAAATCAATAAGTTTGTTTCTTGTTAATGCATTTATAACTGTGATAATAGCTACCCGTTTATTGATAGTTGAAATAAATAAACCTTATTCTAAAGAACGGAATATTTTAGTTCCTTTTTAATGCTAATTTAGGTGTTTCATTTTGAATGTTTAACGAATACGATTCGTATTTTCAGGTTTACTTTAAACATATTTGAATAATCTGATGACTTGAAGGATCGCGCTTTTGTTACACTCTAGAAGATGGGATCTGTAGCAGGGGTTTTAACATGATAAGATTACAGAGCATAGTTACAGAGTACAAGTATACAATTACCGATATCAGTGTGGCATATCTCTACTTTCATATTCGTATTCTTAGTATCGTATAATTAGCACTGTTTATTATGTAATTTACATGATGACGTCAGAAATGGGAAAAACGATACCTTGGCTCGAATCGAACTAGAGGACTATGATTCCATCGAGAGGTTTTGATTGTGTACACATTAACAAAATGATGACGATGACTTCGATTCAATACGGAACATGTTTAATATGAATAATCTAAGATGGCAAAATTTTCATGACATTTTGACATCTTAAACATGTTAACTGGAAGACAGAAAAGCGTTTTAGTTGCCGCCATGGCGCTCTTGCTCCTTTTTTTCATTTCTAAAACGCACACAACTCTCCTTGTGGTACATTCCAACATATGAGAAAAACCACCAATTATGCTTGTACTTCGTGTTCTTCAAAGGAACTGGTAGAGCCAGGACAGGAGGAGTCAAGGTTCGATCAAATGGCGCCCACCATTGTGAGACCTGTTGCCACGGTGAACAACATCTACAACGACTCATTTGACTCAAATTTTCAGGTAAATTTTATTGATTCTCTTAATTCGTTAAAATAGCAACATAATGCCTCCAACATTCATATAAGTCAATGTATCCTTGTCTTTATTGTGCCAAAGTTTGCTACTAACCAATATAGTAAAGTGTAGCATTTACATATTTTGTTTGGATTCCCGCCGTCTATAATCACCGGTGTATATCATTACTCCGTGTGTCCATTTTATCTAGGTTTTTTTCTTCTTACCGATACAATAAGGTGTAGCTTTTACATCTTTTGTTTGGATTCCTGCCCTCTATAATCACTGGTATATCTCAATAACTCTGTCTCTCTACTTTTGTTTTGGTTCCCGCCGTCTATAATCACTGGTGTATATCTAGCTCAATTATTACCGATACAATAAAGTTAGGTTTAAGAAGGATTTAGCCTTAATTTAGGTTTTGTATTTAAGCAATATAAGTCACGTGATAATTTCTTGGAGAATGATTTGCTAACTGCCTGTTTTGCTTTGCATAAATAAGTGGCAAGTCGATGTCACACCTGAGCATTAACACGATAAAAAGGCGAGTTACCTACTTACATGATAATCATTTCGGTAAAATTATCTCCGAAAATGAAGAAATATGTCGACATAATTTAAACGTTATTGCGACATATTCATAGATTATTTTGACATCTATTAAATTTTTTGTCGACATAGGTAACTCGAAAGTCGAAAGTCGATGGCAGAAATATGCCACCATAGGTAAGCTGTCACACATTCGGTTTGGTTTCTGACGTCTATTATCACAGGTGTATCTGTAATCTTTTTGATATACTTGTAGCTACCTGTCGATGAAATTGGTATAATCAGACAGTTCACATTTTCCTCGAGTCTACAACGGATGTCTGTCATTACCCGGAAGTTGGGAGACAAGAACTTTGAACTCTACACGAAAGGCGCGCCCGAGAAAGTTATTTCCCTTTGTAAATCAGATACAGGTGAGAAGTGCATTCATAATAACTACTGTTGTATTAAACACCGAACAATTGTGAAAAACAAAAGGAGCCCCACATGTACGTTTCAGTGTCGGTAGAAATAAAAGCATCTTACCTTTCCAGGGCACATGGTTATTTTTTTTTATGTTTTTTTTTACCCATGAAAGTTTACTTTCAATGCATATACATTTTGTTAAATTAAATGAATACTAAATTTGTTTGATTGAGTTTTCTTCCATTTACTCACATTACGCAGCATGGTGTTTTTGATCTTATTAACAGCTCATATAAGGTCATTTTAATTGCACAGAGACACATATTCTTTTTTTGTTCTGGTGTCTCTTTTATACTTGTTGTTGTATTTTGCGTATTGATTGACGCTTTACTCCTATTTTATTCTGTTGCTTTTGCGCCTAGCATAATCGTGAATTATGAAAACATCGCTGTATCTATAACTCCTTTTTATTTATCACTCATCTTTTGATTTGTTCTGTAACAAATTTTTTAAGACGTTGTCTTCTGAACTAAAGTGTCGATTTGAAATTTTTATTTTCGGGTTAACATATGTTATTTTGCGTTGATAAAAACAAATATTCTTCTTTAGTTCCAAGAAGGCCCGCGTCTTCATAGGGGATGAATGTGCATGTAGAATGCAATATGTTGGTATGTTATGTAGACAGGCAAAAATCAACTTCTCTTGATACATTTGTTTCAAGGTCCAACGGTAAACTATGGATTCTGTTGTAAGAAGTCTGGCATATTGTTATATGTACCAACTATTGTTAATTTGAACTTGATTTTTTCACGATTATTTGCGACATGGACGCTTTCTATACGCCACTTTATAGATATTATTTCATTTTTCTCGTGTATATTCCAGGGCAAAACATTATACTTCTTGTTTTTGTGTTCCAGTGCCAGTTGACTTCCATGAGGTGCTCACCCAGTACACACAAAGGGGACTTCGTGTATTGGCTCTGGCCTGGAGACCACTTCCTGGGAAGCTAAAGTACACAAAGATTCAACGAATACAGAGGTTAGTTCATTTTAGAAGAGAAATCTATAAACTTCGGTTGAACAGTTTTATATTTAGCAAACGTTGTTTTGTGTTGCTATCTCTGTGGATTATTGAATTCCCTATAATTTTCTCTTCAAATATAGAGATTGTTCTCTGAATTAACTATTACGATACCTTTAGGTGATTGTCATAAAATCAAGCTGTTTGAAGAAAAACGTGATGATTTGAGGACAGAAATTTTCATAAGTAAATTTTTCGATTTCTGTCTATACACTCGTTTTGTTCACACTGCTTCAGCTGTCACTGCTGTTAGTCAATCACCCTTTGCAACATAACGATATTTTTTAAATGTATTAATTTTTAAAAGCAGTTTGGCATGTACCTTATAACAGAGTCAATGTTTAACACAGACTGTAGGAACAGTTTGTAATAGTTAATTATCGATATATTGTAATGACGGTGTGTGCTTCATGTGAAGTAATGTTTACATATCCTTAAAATCTGGTCTCGGTTGTTCGATTCCTGATTAGGATAAAGAATCATCAAACATAATTATGAAAACATACTCTATATGAAATTTGACAGCTAGTGTTTGCCTTTTGAACCTTTAAGTCATCATTTGTATTTCTATAAAGAAATATTTAGTTGTAAAATTCAATAGATTTTATATGAAAGAACTAGACGAAAATTTGTTTTAAATTGTAGCTATGTTAATCATTGCCTGCATTCATGAAAGCTGTTCTCATATTACAAAATGTACTCAGCTTCATGTCTCGTCAATGATCCTCTGAACATGCACAAAATTTCAGTTTGTTTTAAGAAATTATCACAGGAATAAGAAATTCACATTCAGCACAGAATATGAGTTTCAGCGTCAGATCGGGTTCATGAATACGATCCCAGGCTTGAACAACCGGGCCCTTGTTTTGTCTTAAATGGGTCTTTGTGTTATTTATTGTCATTTAGTATCTCTCACAAAAAACAGTTATACCTTTTGACTTCCGATTATTACTTAAGAGAACAAGTTGAGAAAGACCTGCGTTTCCTCGGTCTTATGGTCATGGAGAACAGACTGAAACCTTCGTCTGCGTCCGTCATCCACCAGTTGAAAGATGCAAATATCAGACCAATAATGGTTACTGGGGACAACATGCTGACCGCTCTGAGTGTGGCCAGAGAGTGTGGAATGATTGACCCAATGGACAACATCATTCTTGTGCAAGCGTATCCTGCCCAGGGATGGTCTGAAGCGTCACTCGAATACATCTACACTGACAGCAAGGCGCCAGAGGACCTAGATCTCATCACGTTATCTGGAGGGGTAAGCAGTCTAATTTAAATGCAGTTGTTGAACAAGTATATCTTGATATTATTATATTGTTATAAAATGTCTTAGTTGTCCGCTGTGTCTTTCAATTAGCGTTCACGGGATATTTTTTTGTTTAAGTAGATTTCACTTAAAATGCCAGTCAGTGATAAACTAACTATTCCAATCGATTCAGACTTACTTCTTTATTATAATGAAAATATCAAACCATTTTAACTTATTTTACTACGCATGATGAATCAGATCTAACAACAAAAAAACATGTTTGAAATATTTTTCTAATTAGAACTAGTCACAATGTATGTTTAACGTATTCAATAAAAGTACAAAAGGAAAGATGAATGGCTGAAGAAAGGAATGCGAAAATATTTTGTACATTTCTTAAACAATCTCGACAATCGAGAAACGTAATGAAGTGCAATATGCTCTTGTGTGATACATACTTATACAACGATTGCATTGGAAATGCAGCACGATCGAAAAGGATAACATCGCTTATCCGCCAAATTTAAACCTCGCGAAATTGGACATTTAATATACTTTGTGTCTTAATTTTGGATTTAAAAACAATGGAAACAATATATACGATCACCGTCGTCCTTGCCTCTACGCCTTGTAACGTTGTCCTTTTACAAAGGCCAATCGCAATAGCGCCGATACTGGAGAGGATCTTGCGCGTTCCAATGGAAATATTATCCATACATTATGTAATATTGCATAAGGAGTATTATTTTGGAAGGTATATGGTACATGTGAAAACAGAAAATGGTTTGCACAATTTGTATCAAATGCTTCGCGGTTTTATATATGCATGTATGCTCAGCGTAAAATACTGCGTTGTAAAACCATTGTGAATCACATTAAATTAACTATTTTTTATAATTTAAAATATCGCATCTAACAAATAGTTGTATTTGATATATTATAAAATCCTATTTTTACAGAGAATAGGGAATACGGAAATTTCAGAAAAATTCAACGAAGTCAATTCCAAATACCATCTGGCGACTGATGGCCGGTCGTGGGCAGTAATCAGGCAATATTTCCCGGACATGATTCCAAAGGTAGGCATGGAGACAGTTAACATCGTTGGTTACATTTTATGTATCAAGAAAATATTTAACCTTACTGCGAAATAAATGTCATTTCCTTGTCTATTAACGCGGTGGTCGTATGACCTTAGTTTAGTGAAGACACAATTTAACAACCTTTTTTCCAACAAAGTATTACCCGGAAGTGGTACAATGAATCAGAGTTTATTTGAAGATAAANAAAAAAAAAAAAAAAAAAATAACGTAATATTAAGGGAAATCAAAGGTTTGTATACATATCTATATTTCCTTTAGGAAATGAGATTTAAAACTTAATTTTACGGCGATAAAACTTATTAAATATTTCTTTTTAATTATAAATCTGTTAACATGTATTGGGTACCCTTTTTTTTCGTAAGCTATTTTTATCATGTGGAGCAAAGCGTGTTTTGTATAAATGAGAGTCATGCTAATGCATTGATACGAAAATGTTGTGCAACATCAACACAATGATAACTTTCATAAATAATATGTTTCGAAATATCACTGACCCATTGTAATACCAAACGTATACACATGTGGTAACAACGATATAATATTACGTTTATCAAAACATATCTGGTGCATACAGATACCATTGTAATGCTTTGTATATTTTTACGTTATTAACAGTTGGTAGTGAAAGGGACAGTGTTTGCGAGAATGTCACCAGAGCAGAAAAGCCAACTGGTAGAGGAGCTACAGGAATTGGAGTATGGATTACTTCCCTTTAAATAGAGATTTATAATAGATTAAGTTTGTATTTGCTTATTTTAAAAGTACTGATCTTTGGGCTGTCCTTTTCAGTCTGACAATATATTTACTAATCATAAAGCATATCAAATAAAATCATTACCTTACAGAATCAGAAAACAATGCTGACATTAAGAAGTAACAACATTAACTTGACAAGTGTTGGCTAGTTGCCATATTCAATGCAAAAATACGCAACTAACCCCCAGTATCGGCGGTGTCGTTTTGTGAGAGTCTCTACACTCGCCGAAGAAGTCATAACTGATATGCTATAGCCTTATCAGGGATCTCCATTTTTCCTTTTCTCTCTAACCTCTTCTTGCTTACACCAGTGTCCTACAAGCCACCTGTTGTGCGTACGCTTTCAGAGTAATGTGACCGGTTGTAGTGACTTGCTATATTGTGCAAAAATGCACAAAAAATTGAAATGTATTTAAAAGACTGGATCCAGTTGTTCAAAAGGTGATTACCTTAATAAGTGACTAGCGCAAATTTTAATTTTTGTGCAACTTTAAAGCAAATTCATTGTATTAGTTACATTTTTCCAGATATCAAATATTTTGTAGTGTGAATATACATGCCAAAATTTATATTGACGAAATTATTAATGGTTGAAAAATGTCGTTAAACAGTGATTAATCTTAACATCTTTTGAACAACTAGGACCAGACTTAAATAAAACATCTAGATCTATGAAATATCATCAATGCAAGATTTACTGAATATTCAGTTCTACTTTGAAAATTTTCTTACACACAAAACATATTAAAAATTGTCAAAAATCCTCATAACTCTAATAATTTAAAAAAAATGCTTAAATTAATATTGTTTTATCATTTCAAATTAACTTTAACGTTTTATTTATGGTTTTTACTCTCTGGATGGATTGGTATTAGTTCCTGTTAAAATACCAGCCCCAAACCATCATACTATGAAAAATAAGTACAAAATAAATGCAGAAGGCTTCAAGAGTTAAATATGCACACTTTTCCTTTATGAAACTAACACACTAACCACATTGATATGAAGCAACTTGCACTTATTCAAAAAGATTGACAATTCATTAAAACTATGAAAATTAAATTTGTAATAAAATCCAAACAGACCATCAAAACAGAAATAACCTGTACACATCCTGTGTCCCTTTTTACAATGTTAAACTGCCATTTGAGACAAAACTGTTGCGTCATTATTTTATGATTAAACAGAAACAAATTTGTATACGTCCTATTTTATTGCCGGAATAGACAAAATGGTGGTTTTGTCATAAACAGGGACTAATCTGTTGTGAGAAGTCGAAACAAAATGCATCTTCTGTGAGATATCTTTCGAGACAACAACCTCGGAACACGTGCCCTAACCTTTGACCTCTATTGCTAGGTACTACGTGGGGATGTGTGGAGACGGAGCCAATGACTGTGGGGCCCTGAAGACGGCACACGCTGGTATTTCTCTGTCAGAGGCAGAGGCATCAGTTGCTTCACCTTTTACATCTAAAAACCCTGACATTGAATGTGTGCCTACCCTTATCAGGTAAATACGGCTGCACAGGTTTTAACATTTTGTCTGAAAGTATTATATTTCTAGTACACTTGTATCTGCCCTAAACACGCAGATAATAATAGCCGGGTGCTTGCCCCTATAAAGTAGGACATAGAATGCCTTGTAAGTTGAGTACAACCATACCTAACTAAGAATATTTCTAATTATATTTGAGCGTGTTCCTTTTATTTACAGGGTACAGAAGGTAATCGTAAGGCTTCCAGAGCATGTCACTAGTATACTAGTAATATCTACGCTAGACCGTCTGTAAACCCCTCATGGATGAACGTTTTAATATATTCCTGTATGTTTTTTCGTAAAAGGAGATTAGAAAGTGCAGATAGTTTAAAACAGTGACTGTAGCTAGTTTAAAAATTAGCTTGTCCCAACACCTGTTAAACAAACTTATATTACTTAAAACATAAGTAATAGTTATTAATGAATATTAGGAATAAGTGAAAACCAATACACAAAATATTCCCAAAATTAATCCTAATTACTACATTTTTTTGCCAGTGAAATATCGGATTTACTCTATCAACTTAATAAAACTGATATCTTTCACACTGTGACAAATAGCAAAAGTAATATTTTCACGGTGTGAAAATATACCTTTTTGGTATTGACCAATCATAACAGTATCTTCTATTCGCTGCATTCAAAGGAAACGAATTTTTGTTCATATGCTAATGGAGCGACGGTAGAATAAGTGGTTGTTATGGTAAATGTTTGGTACACCCACTCAAGTATTTACATAAATATACAATTAATAACATTTGTATAGGCAATCATATCAGAAAATAGCAAAAAACGTCGGAATTGCGTTGAGTATCCAATTCAAATGGCGCGCAGCCTTGTTGTCAAGCTTGACGTCATTATAATATCGCGCTTCTTATTACGCTCCTGATTCCCGCCCCTTTTTACTGATTGTATTTCATGTTTTATGCATCACACACACACACAAAATGTTATAAATAGAAAAGTTAATGGAGTCTTCAGTAATACCAAATATATTTCACTCGTGTGGCTAATATTTTCTTATTTTTCACTCGTGCTGCACACTCGTAAAAAATAACAAAATATTACCCACACGCGTGAAATGTATTTGTTATTACTAAAGACACCATTAAATATCCTCTTTGTATCGCATCATTTAGAATTGATACATAATAACAAAAGGTTACTGAATAGTTGCAACAGGAATCATATAATAGTATTGTCGTGAAATGTCTTGTGCCAAATATGTTGATCAATGTTGTGTTTATTTAATAGGGAGGGGAGGGCCGCCTTAACAACGTCTTTCGGAATCTTCAAATACATGTGTATGTACAGTTTGGTGATGTTCACTACAATCTGTATTTTATACTGGGTACGTATCTCTGTGTATTATCAGTATTCTTTACTGGGTACGTATCTCTGTATATTGTCAGTATTCTGTACTGGTTACGTATCTCTGTGTATTATCAGTATTCTGTACTGGGTACGTATCGCTGTGTATTGTCAGTATTCTGTACTGGGTGCGCATCTCTGTGTATTGTCAGTCTCTGTACTGGGTACGTATTTCTGTGTATTGTCACTATTCTATACTGGGTACGTATCTCTGTGTATTGTCAGTATTCTATACTGGGTACGTATCTATGTGTATTGTCAGAGTTCTGTACTGGGTGCGCATCTCTGTGTATTGTCAGCCTCTGTACTTGGTACGTATCTCTGTGTATTGTCAGTATTCTATACTGGGTACGTATCTATGTGTATTGTCAGAGTTCTGTACTGGGTGCGTATCTCTGTGTATTGTCAGCCTCTGAACTTGGTGCGCATCTCTGTGTATTGTCAGTCTCTGTACTTGGTACGTATCTCTGTGTATTGTCAGTATTCTATACTGGGTACGTATCTATGTGTATTGTCAGAGTTCTGTACTGGGTGCGTATCTCTGTGTATTGTCAGTATTATTTACTGGGTACGTATCTCTGTGTATTGTCAGTCACTGTACTTGGTACGTATCTCTGTGTATTGTCAGTATTCTGTACTGGGTACGTATATCTGTGTATTGTCTGTATTATGTACTGGGTACGTATCCCTGTGTATTGTCAGTATTCTGTACTAGGTACGTATCTCTGTGTATTGTCAGTATTCTGTACTGGGTACGTATATCTGTGTATTGTCAGTATTCTATACTTGGTACGTATCTCTGTGTATTATCAGTATTCTGTACTGGGTACGTATATCTGTGTATAATCAGTATTCTGAACTGGGGTAGTATTTCTTTGTTGTTTTATCTGTGTTCTGTACTGGGTTTGTACATGTATCTCTGTGTATCATCGGTTTTCTGTACCGAGTGTATATCTTGTGTGGGACTTTCAGTGGTCTGTCCCGGATACTGATCTTGTGTGTTACTATCCGTATTCAGTACTATTTACTTTGTAACTAGTAATTTGTGTATTACTCAGTGTCCTCTTTGTGGCACGTGGTGTGTATGAAAATTATATTTGTATATAAATACTAGACAATTTGTAATATACAGTTATATCCATTTTGCTGTGCTTTTGTAACATTCATGAATGCATTATAAAATAGTTGTGAACAGATTTACAATTCATACCTTATAAAAAAATAGCCAAATTATTATCGGTGTTATTTATGTATTTATCAATTTTTAGAAAAACGCAAACCTAACGGACTTCCAGTTTCTGTTTATCGACCTCATTCTACTTACAACGCTCAGTATATCATGTGAGTGAAAACTGCTGTCACAAATTTGTATTGTTCAGTTTTTTTTCTGAAATGGTAAGCATACGTTCATTACCAAGTAAACACATACTTAGTTTTAAACATTTTCTTCCGGTTGGTAAGTATAAATAGTAGAAAGGTTATGCATAACAACAAAGTGTTTTGTGTTACCTTTAAGTAACTAGTAAGATACTAGCGCGATACGTACCCTGTCACCTTCATCAGAAGCTTCCCTGGTCATTTGTCTGATGAACATGACAATGTACGTATCGCACTAGTCACTGAAACGTCACGCATACAAAACCTACTGGTTGTGATACATAATCTTTCATTTAAATTAGCTGAAGCTCATGAAAATACAAAACAAACCGAAATCGGCAGGACAAATAAATGAACAAAAGTTCACTTCAATATCCTCTATAATCCAATTATCTTCTTAATTTTGATGACATTGATGTAGTTTTTTCTCTCTGTACAAGTCCCTAATATGCTAAGAAACGTATAGAGGGACACAAGAGCCAGAAATAAATGTATTGTGTCACTGAATATTATCTTGTAATATATACTCTATGTTAGTCAGACATTCAGTATAATAGTGTTTGTGGTATGCGTAAACCAATGCTGTTTGCGGTACGCTCAACTAACTAGTGTATTTGTGGTCTGCTCCCGTAAATACTTAGTATGTGGTCCGCTCAATCTAAAACTTTGTAAGTGGTTCGCTCAAGGAAATATTGCAAGTGTGGTACGTTCAGGCAAATACTAAACGTAAGTGTGTGGTACGCTTCAGCAAATACGTTGTATGGTGTACGCTGAGGTAAATACTGTGTGCGTACTGCTAAAATAGTTGTTGGCCGAAGCAAATACAATGCGTGGTTCGCATAAGCAAATCTCATTTATTTATTAATGGTACGCTGAATCCAACAATGTACATGTTACGCTCAAGCAAAAATTATTTTTATGGTACGTTCTAATAAAAAGTCGTAATTTTGCTAAAGGAAAATATAATATACCATCTTTATGTAATGCATATCCAGTACAATCAGCAGTTACAATTTCCCATTGTGTGTACATATGTTGGTACGCTCTGTAAGTTTCAAGAGAGTTTAAAAACTATACAAGCATGTCTCCTTCGGTCAGCAAGCATTACATGTGTGATGATAAGGTTTACTTATAATGCCGGTCTGTGGTTGACTTTACAAATAATATATGCGTGATGCAGGTCCTCCTTCATTGGGTTCTATGTAATGATATAGTAATACAAAACAACATTTTTTGTTCCTTACTTGTGAATACTGTAATAAGAGATCGTTGAAATGCCAGTTAAGCTATAATTATATTTCTTTTCGATGTAAATAAAACTGCTTGTCATCATGTGTTTTAGTTCATTGTTAGTTTACATGTTACTTGTTTTTGTATTTACAATAAGGAGAATTTACGCATCTCTGCTGGTGGGTGTCTACCATGAAGTTTGCCGTAACCTTGCTGGCCATATTTATTTCATTGAAGTAGTGGCTCGGTTTATAATATACAATTTAATCGTTATTATCCTAGTTTGAAATTAACCAGTATTTCTCTAATTTTAGAAATATATAATAAAGGGGTTGTACGTACTTTCCCTTCGAAACAGCTGTATGATGCAGTGCAATTTATTTTTGGCATACTGTATTTATTGCCAAAGTGCAATCACATATTTGTGTGTTACGTTCTTATTTTATCACATAATCAACATAACCAGTTATCAATGTAAGAATACCATTAACCCATTATTAAACTAGTGTTATGTAAACAGGTTTACTAAAGCCAATTTTCTTTCTCTTGTTTTAAGTCGTTAATACATACTTTTTCTGATTTTTCAGTAAATATACTCTTTATTTAGTATTTCTCCGAACATGTTTTCTTCAAAGTGTAAGTGAGAATGAACGACATTGGTAGAATGAAAGTTTATCTGTGTTGGTAAATTGATAATTCTTATGTTTTTCTTTTAACTTTTGTTCGTAACTCAAAGTTTACATACCTAGTTGTTTCGACTACTTTTGTGGCCTTCCTCATTCGGACTGAGACTCGCCAGGTGCAATTACCTGGGGTACCTCGACCTTTCGGGCACGTGCCCTCAAGAGCGAGACATAGAAAACTGGTAGGCGGTACCTCCCCCTGTCCTGGTTGAGGATCGACTAGTACAGGCGGATTTATATGGCATCCCGGATTTCACGTTTTAGATACCACGAGTCTCTGTCCAGTATCGCGACTTATCCAGGTCAAGGGAGTGGCCTAGGGATTCGATGTGAATGCGCTGAACCACGTCTTGGGAGGACACTGAACTTGGTTGTATATATTCTAAGAAACTGTTCGTTAGGCTACCATCTGTCTCCCCAATATAGGTCTCTGTATATTGATTGCCTCGGGTGGTATTGTCCTGGCACCAGATGTAGTATACAGTACCGGCAAGAATCTGAATTGACTGTTATTGTGTTTGTAACGAGTTTGGTTAATGCTCTATAGTATAATATTTTACATAGACATATCTTTTTAGGGTAGTTTATAAGGCAAATTTGTTTATTAAGTGTTTATTATATGATATGAAACATTCTGAAAGATGAACTTACCCACAAATACATGTAGAAACAGAAACAGAGGGACGGGTGTGTAAAACCCATTCATTTATGAAGTTCAAAAGTTAAAGTATAACTGGAAAATGTTTTCAAATTTAATCATTAGAAAAGTGTGTATATTATGAACTGTGCCACTACTCAAAAGAGATGAATGTGGCCTTCAAGGTTACAGCACACCTCGCGGACTACAAAATACACCAGCAGAGTATTCAACTTTTTATTGCATTAATCAAATTTATAAATATTATCCTTTATATCTTTTCTGCAGTCAGCTGGACTGGGGCGTATTCCAAACTGGTACCAGATCCACCCCTTCTAAAGCTCGTTAGCATTTCTCCCATCCTGTCTGTGTTTTCGCAAACAGTGATTTCAATGGGATTCCAAGTCTTTGTCTATTCTAATATCAGCGAGCAAGTCTGGTAAGTTGTTATTTTTTTTCAATATTTAGACCAAAAAACGTTCCACTCTTTTGATGTAGCATGGTATGTTACATATTTGTACATACGCATGCATGTAACCTAGTTGGTATATGGAACATAATACACTAAATATTGTATTGCATTACATCGTTGTCAGATATACCACAGGCCCCCTAACCTTGTTCCTAGTCAATGACTGTTAATATCTAGATATGTTTAATTTTTATTTTCCAGGTTTATACCTTTTGTGGAGAACGACGAATGGGACTACAGATGTCACGAAGTCACCGCTTTGTTTATGGTGTCAAATTTCCAATATTTCTTCCTCAGCATCGCGTTTTCGAAGGGAGCACCCTACAGGAAGTCCGTCTTTTCCAACTGTGAGTTCTCGTCATGATTTAGTTTGCCTTTCTGAGCTTGATTAATAAGAATGTGTTTCTATCCTTGAATTTGTTATGGAAATAAGACGATAAATGCTATGGAAATTTTTCTTCAAACATTCCTTTTTCTTTACATTAATCATTAATCATTATGCCTTTCTGAGCTTGATTAATAGGAATGTGTTTCTATCCATGAATTTGTTATGGAAATATGACGATAAATGCTATGGAAGTTTTCTTCAAACATTCCTTTTTCATTAATCATTAATCATTATGCGTGTTCGTATTTCGATGTCACAACCTAGTGTTTATTATTATTTTTACTGACGTAGTGAATGCCTCTGTATTGTTCAATACCCCAAAATAGTAATTTTACACGCTAAAAGATTCGAGCCTATTTATCTCTCCGTGCTGCATAATATCTTAACAGATATATGGTTAAACCAAATTGAGATGAACGCAAATGTATCACGTGATTTGGAAATGACATCATTTCATTTATATCCATGTGACCTTTTTTTTTCGCCACTTCATAACTTTGAATCAAACGCTTACTGAACACAGATTTGTATTAATGATAATTGCAGCATCCGTTATTATAATTGACTGACAACCTTTTAAATAACCATATGTGGTGCAAATGCTATTCATAAAACATACATCAGGCTTTGTGTTATACTGTAAATTGACATTCTAATACCTTAGTTTATTTAAATTTTGTTTGCAAACGATTATTCAATTTAAAAAAAACAAGTTAAAATTATATAAAAATGTCTTGAGTTCGTTTCTTATTGTCCGAACCAAACACAACAGGAACAATGAATCCGTTTAAAATTTGAAAGGTATTCTCATACCACAGCGGGGACGTACACACATAAAATAGATTCTTTTGATAGTAAATCAAACTAAATTAAAATTGCATCTGCAAAACCCTAAAGTGTGCTTTACATTGATTTATATTTTACAGATCCATTTATGGTTAACTTGGTTTTTTGTTTCGCGATGAATGCCTGGCTTACATTACACCCCGGACAGGATACAGAAGAATTTATAGAGGTGAGATAAATTAATGTGCATGTCTTTGCGAAACAAAAACAAACAAAAACGGAACCCCGAACATGACCACATAAACTTATCTCTATCACGAAGAATTCAAATTGTAAAAGCAACAAAAGGAACTATGGATGTATCAAAATAGCATGAAATACATCATGAACAATAAAACAAAACTTATATAAAAAAGAGAACAAAAGAAAATGCTCAGGAGGCAAACAATATGAATTGTCCCCTCTTAAAATGTATGGATTACCAATTACAATGATTGATTGGTTGATTGCGATTTTACGTTCTTGCAATAGCTACTGACGTTTTGACATGTCCACAGTTCATGGAGCGAAAATTAAGTAAATATAAATATCGTCTTTTGATGTAATAGTTATGTATGAACGTACACAATATTCATCTGCCTTTTAAAAAAAAAAAAAAAAATGTTTTAACCAAAATCAACCCTATATCATTAATTATGTATATACACATCGCCACGAAATATAAATGCAGTGAATTAATCTGCCTTAATTAAATTTTTTTTAAAAAAAATGGTAAAACTTATCATTTAACATATAACCGCGAAACCTGTATCCCCTGAATTACTCTTCTCGTTCATCTGCGAAATAACCTCAAATTTAACGAATTTATTTTAAAAATCATATCCATGCGCCCACTACAATGTAATGTCACACAACTGACTCCCTTTTCAGCTTCAGCCTCCTCCATTTCTCTACCGTCTAGTTCTACTGGGAATCGCCTTCATCAACGGAATGGTATCCATATTATTTGAAGTAAGTTGAATATAACATGCAAGAATTAAGACAGAACATATTGTCATTTTTAAAGGATCTTGTAGCCATGTATCTATGTTCTGTTCACTTTTTTTATTGATTGCTAAAGTTCGCGATTCGTTAGAGCTGAACTGCTTAGCATCGCTTATTAATTGATGCGATTAGATATAACTATACCCTTCACAATATGGCTGTTAACATCCACGGCGAAGAGAAAATCCACCGACTGAACAAGTAAATATAGTCAGGCTGACTTTACAATGACACGAATCGAATGACGTCACGTTCAATAGCCAGATGACATTATATTACAGGTTGCAGAAAAAAATGCTTATCGCTCAGAAACAAGCCCTTTTCAGTTGTATAAGGTTCATATAACACAACCAGTAGAATTGTTCTTTGCGCGTCATTGATACATTACATACTTTACTAGATGTGTAATAGGAACCTAGAAACAATCCATAATTACCAGGCTGACGAAATTAGTTAAGGAAAATTGTTCATTTTTAGGTTCAAAGAGAACAATCACTCCCCAGTTTGCGAATAAGAAGAAATTACATAAGTTTACAAATATTTTTTGTATTTTTATACAGATGCTTGTGATTGACAGTAAATATATCAGCAGAACATTACAAACCAGAATAGAGGAAATGTTCAAGGGAGCATCGTATAAATATCTAGAAGTTGAAAAAGATATTGAGAAGGATATCTCTTGGCCACCAACACAAACAAAACCATCTAACCTTGTCGATGCTTTTGCGAGGATGGATAGTGCCCACAATGTACCAGATTTTGACCAGAACAGTCTTCTGAGCAGCCTTCTTTACTCAAGCAGCGGTTCATACAAGTCGCACAGTCTTCACTCGACTGGTTCACTACGATTCTCATCGGGTTCATACAAAGTAGGTATGGACGAAGAACAACTTATCGGTTCTCTTGGCAAAGAGCAGGATGCAACATCGATGGGTGCTATATTCCCTTATTTAACTAAAATGGAGGATATAACGGTGAAACAGTATGGAAATGTAGAAGGATTTGTCAATGAATTGCCACCAGAGACATATACCTCTCGGAACAGACAGTCAGATGATCCTGATTTTGCGAACGAACAAGGAGACAATATAGCCGCAAAGACACTTCCACCAGAATATTATTTAGGGGATTCAAACACGAAAACAGAAAGAGTATCTTCTCCAGTGACACTTACAACAGATCAGCATGTTGTGCCCGAGATAAAAATCATCAAACCCGAACAAAAATCCTTCGATTTCGAAAAGGACAAAACAAACGTTATTTATACAAAGCAGACAACCAGTCGAATCGATCAACATAGTACTGGGCTTAAAGATTCCAACCAATCTGACCTACATTCATCAGAAACCGATGCTAAACCAGATACACAAAATGACGATATCGATGCACGTCCAGGAACTGAGGATAACCAAAGCAATAAACTAAACACTGAAACGGAATCCAATGTCCATGAGACAAGATCAATCCCAGATGATGACCCAACCGGAGGAAGCAGCGCATCAGATGGTGACGCGGATAATGAAGCAGATAAAGAAAACACTCATCTATAGGAACTAATGAATAAAACATATTGATGATTAGCAAGGTTAATTATTTAAAACAGGACTATTATCCTAATTTTATGTTTGGTCCTTGAATAGGATAATAGTTCGTTCTCTACGAAAAAAAGGAACATCTGTCACTAATAATATTAGTGAAAAGAACATCAGAGGTAGAGCAGATTATTATTATACGAGGAAGAAATATAGTGAAGCAGCAAGGAAGACAATTCATGGGACTACATATTACAATTACAGAAAACGTTCTGTAATGACATTGGCTGTGGAATCCATGTTCTCTTTTCTAACCTTTTGTTTTGCTCTCACGCGCTGTATATTATGGACAAGATATATATTGAGTACATTGCATATATATACATATACATACATGTATTATGCTGACGCACAATTTTATTTACTTGCGCCCATTATAAATGTATGACATTTGCATTCTATCTATCGACACATGTTTTACAAACATGATAGACTAATTGCATAACATATTATCTGTGATCATGATTTTACCTTCATTTCCTGTTCAAGAATATCAATTTCCGTAATTATTTAAGTTACAGGAATTACTTTCATGGAAAATGCTTTTAGATTGGCGAGTTGCACTTGGTATTGAATGTCTGAGTTCATCATGTTTGTAACTGTAAAAAAAACTTGAAGCAAACACACTTTGATGCAAATAACTTATGTATTTTATAGGTAAATTATATCATCGTTGAAAAGAATTTATGACCTTATCTTTCTCACAACATACTGTCATGTTGTAAATGTCGTACATAAAATGTGTTTATAGCCGTTTAAAGAAAACGCATTGCATTCGAGCCGTATCCTTGTACGAGTGGAACTTGTTCGTTGTTAATTCTATGCGAGTTAGTGCATAGTTTACAATGACTCAGAACACGGAGTCACGTGATTCAGTTCATATTTATATATTTTCACTTCAGGCAGTTATCTCGGAAGCAAACGCAACACAAGCGCCTCGTTGATATTGACGTCAGGAATCGGAAAAAACAACAGCATTATGCGTATAACACATAAAGTCTTACAAAGATCACTTAGCATCCGTAACGTCAATTTAATATTTATAATTTAAAATGTATATATTAATACAAGTATATTACAAGTGGAACCTAATACAATCTGTTTTAAATCGGCAGTATTAATCATTGTAACTTTGGCATATGTCTGCTGCTGACTTAGGTCTGACGTATATTTGTTTTGTTAAAAGATGTCGTAATAATATGTGGATATGTCGAAATAGTTTTAACTTATGTCGACATATTATCACAGTTGCCGATATCATATCACGTTCGTAGGTAACTCGGCTTTTAATCGCGTCAATACCATTTCGTGACACTTGTTTACTTATCACTTACTGTAAAAGTGGATATTTTTGTGTGTGGACATTTTCAGGCTTATTTACTGAACGCAAAAAACGCGAACATGTCTGGACAACCAGTGGAAGTATAATGAAAGTTAACGTAACTCACAAACATACTTCGATTTCGGGTTTCGGTAAATTCACTAGATACATCTGTAGCTAATTAATGTCACACTCGAGTATAAAAACGACAAAAAACCGAGTTAACTTCTTAGATGATTATTTTTTCGACAAAATTATTTCTGACAAAGCGGTTATATTTTGACATAATTGATGAAAAATGACGACGAAATCTGGGAATGTGTGTCGAAATCTCTTACTATGCGGATATCTTTTTAAACTTATATCGACATACGTACATTGTAACTTGTAATTCGTAAGGTTTTGATTTCAGAAATATGCCCTCGTATGGTACAATAGTGAAATTTAACACTCAAATACTCGTACCTTTCTTCATGTGACAACCCGGCGAATACTCACCGTTAAGGATCCCTCTCCCACTGCACTGTTGTCTTTTTCTTACATACAGTTACCTTCATTTAGCTTCCGTTTGGATATAAATGTAATACAGTTGGGTCATGGCACTTTTGTTGACCAGGTAGCTAAATTGGTAAGAGCGGTAAATTATCAATCTGAAGTCTAAGGTTCTAATCCCGGGCTAGCCCTGCTGATTTAATTTTCACTCAAAACACTATTGTTGATTTATATTGTTTACTTTATCTTTAGTTTTTGTCATAAAAGTCCTGCAAGGTATGGTTTAGTTTTCAGAAATGATTTATCAAAACTTTTCAACACTTAGTTACAGTTTTTGGCAGTGGGACGGGGACCCTTAAATAACTATTTACACATTTTTGATACCCAGGTGTGTTCTCCATATTCACCTGACTACTATTAAATATCTACATGGGTTATACTTACATAAAACTATTGAAATGCAAATTACACTTTCCTCATAGAAAATTTGTGTTATGTTGTCTGCAAAATAAACAATAAAAGTGAGTCATGCTTTTTTGTGTGGCACTTAATCCATGTTTTGCATATCTTTTATAAAAATATATGTCCTAACTATGATTAGGTGTTTCTTGATTAATCGAGTTTCAGAAAGATGAATGGAAGACACACGCACACCGTGGTTTAGATTTAGAAAAGATATGATGTTTCTGTAGTGATAAAATCATAAATTTTCGTGGGACATTTAATTTCGTTAATTTCGTGGATAACAATATTCCACGAAAATAAATCCCCACGAAAACATAAATTTGGTATGATAAAGATAGGGTAAAATCAGAAATCATCAAATTATAATGTCATTGAAACAGTTTAGTATATGAAGACCACGAAATTTTAAACCCACGAAAATTAATGATTTTACAGTATACATGTATTGTACATGAACCGATGAGATTATACAGTTTCAACAGTTTTTGTTTATGTTAACTTACATGTATATATGAGGATACAAATAAGAAAATCACAGAAGAAAGTCACAAAAATTAATGATTTTACTGTATATACAATATAAAACTGTTTTGATATCATCCAGGTTATTATTAATATACTCATTAACCAAAAGCAAGAGTAACAAGAGAAGTCTGTAGCATACAACCTAACCGAATAGCTTCATTACTATATTGCATGACTTCTGATAATTTGGGGATAAGAAGGTATGCTTCATTGTACATTACATACAATTTACCTACATGAACCTAAAATAAATCATATTTACATCAGCATCACATTGTTCCCAACGTATGCCCTATTTTACATCGTTCAGTGTAATATATTAATAAATTCCGAAGGGGTCAATCCCTACCTGAAAGCAACAATAGTTCCAGACACCATTTACACGTGGTTTAGTTTTGTAAACGTACTAGAAAGTATTGGTAAAGATGACTATAAATCAGTTATACAAATTTAATTATTCATTCGATGACCAAAAAGGGAGCTCCTTGATATAGCACCTACGTTATCAATAAAGCTCTGTTATGAAATTAAAATGTGGTCAAATGGCATAGTCATAAGTTAATTATTACAATTTGCAGACCAATACACTCTATTTTTTATTCTAAAAATACAAGTTTTTGGTTAATTAAATAGTTTTGTTGAAAAAAATGTATTGAGACAACCATTTGAAATGTATGTCTACTTATTTACAGGTTTGTAAGTGTGAAACGATTTTGGAAAGGAGACATGTGTCATGAAATTAGGAAAGGTACATAATGTATCCTGTATTAAAGTACTTTTTATTTTGCTAATATAGTGGTTGGGTGGTAGGTTGCGATAGCGCTCCCGTCTTTCACCAAGACAAACTAAATTGGTATCCCCGATCGGACGTGAAAAGATATTCTGTTACTTGCGGAAACATGTGGGTACTCCGGTTTCCTCCCAAATCCAGACCTCCTTGTGCCTTCATCCCGGCCAACACGATTGATAAATATGAATTAAAAATCTTCTTTCCTAATTTTTATAAAGTAAGTGTAGTGTATATTGCTTTTCAGTGATTAGGTAGATGCACCCTTACATTGCAAAATAAATTAAACTGCACCTGTCTCTATTAACGTCTTGTACAGAAATAAATGACAATTTCAACTATCTTACACTTGAGAAGGTTTGATTGAAGTGTTATAAAATCTTAAATTGTGTATAAAATGTGAACATGAATCCTGTCACAGTCATGGCACGTATCTACTATAGCGCCCCCTGCTGGATACTGTGACCTTAAATACACAAAACTATGTGTGTGGGGATCGGGACAGAACAGCATGGGAACTCGTAATTTTAACTTGCTGAACTTTACTCAGACAGTAATTCTTCAAAATATTTTCTTGCTTCAATTAACCTGTCCTATGAATATCAGCTTGCATGCCAACATTCAACAAACTCTTCTCAGTAGATCCTGTTAAACATAATAAAACAACAAAGTTTTTCATAATGAAAACAACATCTGACTAAAGATGAAGTCAATTAGACTCGGCACCGATCAATTGTTGACTTATATAGAAAATATATATTTTTCCATATTTTAGGTGTACATGACCCGGGATGCTTTATGCTCTTGTTTTCTCTCTCTTTTATATCTGAACTGTTTTAAAACAGATTCCATGTAAAGAGTTGATGTATGGGTGTTGTTACATTACAATATGTAAATTCATAGAATATGTCGACATACGTAGCTTGTAAGTGTAGGTTGATAGCAGAGAAAATGCTTCCGTTATTTTGTTATCGCCCTACCAATATAGCATTAATTAGTTAGATGTAAAAACATGAAATTAAAGCAAATCCATAGAATGTCTATCACAAACTCTCGGTACACTGTTGAAACTGTGGTTGATTATGGAGATTTGGTGTAGACAACGTTGGTGTAGAACTTCCGAATATGAGCCTGCATACGAAATTTTGTATTGAACCATTTTAAGAGAGTAACTGCATTGCAACCAAATAACAAATCGATATTCTGTAGCTCATTATCTATGGGTTATCGATACCACGCGGCACTTTGGTGATCAAACAGATTTAGGGCAGTCTTTGCACGAAGAGCAGTAACTACAAAAAGAATCAGTTAGCCTCATTAATTGTGCGTTAATGCATCATATTGGCGATCGATTTGAGCCAGACATTTAAAATTGCATGTGCATATCTATTTTTGTTGATATCGAACAATTTTCAGAGTAGGTATTGAGTGGAAAGCAATTAATATATTATAATGGTTTAGCCTTATTAATTATTCATATAATGCATAAATATGCATACATCACATTGGCGATCAAATTTTTAATGTGGCATGCAATTGTGAACGTGCATACCAAATTTGATTGAAATTGAACCATTCCTGGGATAGTTAGTGCACGGAAACATTTAACCAATCATAATCAAGTAGCATCATTGATTATACATAAAAGTGCATTCATCACATCGGCGATCAAATTTTTAATGTTACATGCCATTATCAATTTGCATACCCAATCTGATTGAGATTGAACCATTTTTGGATAGTCATTGCATAGAATCAATTAACCAATCAGAATCAAGTTGCATAATTGATTATGCGTAAATATGTATATATGTGTAAATCACATCAGCGATCGATTTTTTCATGGGACATGCCATTATGAATGTGCATACCTAATTTGATTGAAATTGAACCATTATTAGGGTAACTATAAAGTATGCGTAAATAATTATGCACACATGACATTAGCGATCGAAGTCATATCTTCAGTTGGATTTATATCTATCGTTAAAAAATAAATTATTAATATGATATTAAAGCCACAGAGAAAATAACATATTAAATATCGCACATCAAATCAGTAAAATTAATCATCACACTCTTATGATTCTAAACTAAACAAATATGCTTCATTGTTCAAAGAATTATTATTAAGTTAGGTAAGAAAACAACACTCAAAGGCGTTTATGTTAATGCAGTAATTATATTCATCACCTAGATTGTAGGAGAAACATATTGTAAGGCCGATAGTTCTAGAATCCAAATAATGACACCTTTCTTAATATTGGAAAAAATATAATCCTAAAAGAAAATTAAGGATAAGACTAGATAGTAAATTTGTATATTGATGAATAGACCGAAAAGCGAAGTGCACTCTCAACAAACCTCGAATATATTTCCTATTCACTTCCAGAATTGGAAAGGAAAACTGTTATTGCAAAAAGGATGTGTCATTTTCATTTAAAACGAAATTGGTACTTTTTATGAATGGAACAATGATTTTTATGTATGATGCTTCATGCTAGGTTAGCCGGAACCTTCAACAGACACATGTACTGCCTTCAGTGATGACGCTAATAAGGCGATGTCTAGATCTTCATTAATCTTCAGGAATTATTTAATGTCATCTGTTCTAAAATCGACTATAACGCTTGTATTTTCAATGTCAAAAGACGTGATTGTACATGATTATTCAAGAATGTCAAATCACTAGCAACTAGGACCCCGATATCTGTATTCTAGAATCAGAAATACAGACAACAAGATACAATAAAAAGGATTTTACACCATTTTATATTGTGATTTCTTTATTTATATTTGTTTATAGAAATGAAATACCAAACAGTTGATTGAACAAATACGCAGAAAAGCCAGCTTTGATTATATCTTAACAGTAAAAATTAGACAGGATTGCGAGTCTGGTATTTCAATATTTTGTACAACAAAGCAAATGTTATAAAAGCGCTAAATGGACTAAATAAACACATTGAAATGGATGCTGTACTGTTTTGTGAAGATGTTGCAGCGGTAGTAGTAGTAGATGTGGTTGTAGTTGTTGAGCCTAAAATAGGAAAGGAAAATATAGTTTATAGTTATAACTACTTGGCATACTGATTTAATTTTTAGAATTATATTTTAGAACAAAAACAATATCAAACTACACATTTATAAAATGCAGCTTACAAATAATTGGATTCGGTGAATAAAATACGACAGACACATATTAGATATTATGAAAAAATATGTCACAATAGCTATAGCTACAATGAATACGTTTCTTAAATTCAGTAAAAGGGAGAATATGATATAATGGTTGTAAATATAGTATCAAATATATTATAATTTAAATTTCTTCTAAAACTTTCAAATTAGTATGCTGGATGTATGCAAGTTCTACGTTCAATTTTTATAACATTTTATAAATAAAAGTTGATAAATGCAAAAATAATAAGAAAATCTCTTCCATGTTTTCTTGGATAAATGATGACGTATGACTAAAAGCTTGTTAGAAGCAGGGAATTTTCTTCAAAGTTAAGTAAGCATTTGTAGCAAATATTTAAGGCAGCTTGAGTCAGTGAAAAGTGTTACGAGGACAACAGTTCACGGTAACATTTTCATGAGGAAAACAGTCTATGTATAACAGTTTTACGAGGACAATAGTCCATGTGTTACAGTGTTACGAGGACAACATTCCATGTATAACAGTGTTACAGGTACAACAGTCGATGTATAACAGTGTTACGAGGACAATAGTCCATGTTTAACAGTGTAACGAGGACAATAGACCATGTATAACAGTGTTACGAGGTCAATAGTCCATGTATAACAGTTTCACGAGGACAACATTCCATGTATAACAGTGTTACGTGGACAATGAGTCCATGTATAACAGTCGTACGATAACAACAGTCCATGTGTAACAGTGTTACGAGGACAACGGTCCATGTGTAACAGTGTTACGAGGACAACATTCCATGTATAACAGTCTTACGATAACAACAGTCCATGTATAACAGTGTTACAGGTACAACAGTCGATGTATAACAGTGTTACGAAGACAATAGTCCATGCTAAACAGTGTAACGAGGGCAATAGACAATGTATAACAGTGTTACGAGGTCAATTGTCCATGTATAACAGTTTCACGAGGACAACATTCCATGTATAACAGTGTTACGAAGACAATGAGTCCATGTATAACAGTCTTACGATAACAACAGTCCATGTGTAACAGTGTTACGAGGACAACGGTCCATGTGTAACAGTGTTAGGAGGACGATAAGTCCATGTATAACAGTCTTACGAGGACAATATATCAATGTGTAACAGTGTTACGAGGACAATAAGTCCATGTAAAACAGTGTTACGAGGACAACAGTCCATGTGTAACCGTGTTACGAGGACAATAAGTCCATGTAAAGCAGTGTTACGAGGACAACAGTCCATGTGTAACAGTGTTACGAGGACAACGGTCCATGTGTAACAGTGTTAGGAGGACAACAGTCCATGTATAACAGTCTTACGAGAACAACAGTCCATGTGTAACAGTGTTACGAGGACAACATTTCATGTATAACAGTGTAACGAGAACAATGAGTCCATGTATAACAGTCTTACGAGGACAATAGTCCATGTATAACAGTCTTACGATGACAACATTCCATGTATAACAGTGTTACGAGGACATTATGTCCATGTGTAACAGTGTTACGAGGACAACAGTCGATGTGTAACAGTGTTACGAGGACAACAGTCCATGTATAACAGTCTTACGAGAACAACAGTCCATGTGTAACAGTGTTACGAGGACAACATTACATGTATAACAGTGTAACGAGAACAATGAGTCCATGTATAACAGTCTTACGAGGACAATAGTCCATGTATAACAGGCTTACGACGACAACATTCCATGTATAACAGTGTTACGAGGACAATATGTCCATGTGTAACAGTGTTACGAGGACAACAGTCGATGTGTAACAGTGTTACGAGGACAACAGTCCATGTATAACAGTCTTACTAGAACAACAGTCCATGTGTAACAGTCTTACGAGGACAACATTACATGTATAACAGTGTTACGAGGACAATAAGTCCATGTTAAGCAGTGTTACGAGGACAACAGTCCATGTGTAACCGTGTTACGAAAACAACAGTCCATGTGTAACAGTGTTACGAGGACAACAGTCCATGCACAACAGTCTTACGAGGACAACAGTCCATGTATAACAGTGTTACGGGTAAAACAGTCCATGTGTAACAGTGTTACGAGGTCAATAGTCCATGTATAACAGTCTTACTAGAACAACAGTCCATGTGTAACAGTGTTACGAGGACAACATTACATGTATAACAGTGTAACGAGAACAATGAGTCCATGTATAACAGTCTTACGAGGACAATAGTCCATGTATAACAGTCTTACGAGGACAACAATCCATGTATAACAGTGTTACGAGGACAATAAGTCCATGTAAAGCAGTGTTACGAGGACAACAGTCCATGTGTAACCGTGTTACGAGGACAATGAGTCCATGTATAACAGTCTTACGATAACAACAGTCCATGTGTAACAGTGTTACGAGGACAACGGTCCATGTGTAACAGTGTTACGAGGACAACAGTCCATGTATAACAGTCTTACGAGGACAACAGTCCATGTATAACAGTGTTACGGGTAAAACAGTCCATGTGTAACAGTGTTACGAGGTCAATAGTCCATGTATAACAGTCTTACTAGAACAACAGTCCATGTGTAACAGTGTTACGAGGACAACATTACATGTATAACAGTGTAACGAGAACAATGAGTCCATGTATAACAGTCTTACGAGGACAATAGTCCATGTATAACAGTCTTACGAGGACAACAATCCATGTATAACAGTGTTACGAGGACAATAAGTCCATGTAAAGCAGTGTTACGAGGACAACAGTCCATGTGTAACCGTGTTACGAGGACAATGAGTCCATGTATAACAGTCTTACGATAACAACAGTCCATGTGTAACAGTGTTACGAGGACAACGGTCCATGTGTAACAGTGTTACGAGGACAACAGTCCATGTATAACAGTCTTACGAGGACAATAGTCCATGTATAACAGTGTTACGGGTAAAACAGTCCATGTGTAACAGTGTTACGAGGTCAATAGTCCATGTGTAACAGTGTTACAGGTAAAACAGTCCATGTATAACAGTTTTACGAGGACAATAGTCCATGCACAACAGTGTTACGAAGACAACAGTCCATGTATAACAGTCTTACGAGGACAATAGTCCATGTATAGCAGTGTTACGGGTAAAACAGTCCATGTGTAACAGTGTTACGGGTACAACAGTCCATGTGTAACAGTTTTATGAGGTCAATAGTCCATTTGTAACATTGTTACAGGTAAAACAGTCCATGTATAACAGTTTTACAAGGACAATAGTCGATGCATAACAGTGTTACGAAGACAACAGTCCATGTATAACAGTCTTACGAGGACAATAGTCCATGTATAACAGTGTTACGGGTAAAACAGTCCATGTGTAACAGTGTTACGAGGTCAATAGTCCATGTATAACAGTGTTACGAGGACAACAGTCCATGTATAACAGTGTTACGAGTACAACAGTCCATGTGTAACAGTGTTTCGAGGACAACAGTCGATGTATAACAGTGTTCCGAGGACAATAGTCCATGTGTTACAGTGTTACGAGGACAACAGTCCAAGTTTAAATGTGTTACGAGGACAACAATCCATGTTTACATTGAATAGTTTTACGATGACAACATTAAATTTGACAGAAATGTGTTTCATAGTTTTTTATTAGCAGAAAACATCGACTAACTTTAGTGTATTTGACATGAAAGCTTTATTTTATCAAATTATCAGCTATGTTGAGTTAAGAATATTGAACTTGTCTAGTTAGACATAAAAGCTAATGCGCCATTTTTATTTTTGATATATAATCTTATTAAGGACCACCAGAAGACATTTTCTTTCAACTTATTCGATTCCTGTTAGATTAATCAACCGATACCATAGTAGGTAGGTTATATATATATATTACAGTAATGATGTAATGGAGCGTCATTTTAAACTTCCAATTATGCGCATGATAATAATGTTTAAGGTAATTAGACGTTAAACGATAACGTTATTAATATGTAAAATACAAGCACTTTTTTACTAAATGAGATGATATAGAATACGGTTTCCACATGTTTATTATTAACACCACAGGGTATTCTAACTTCAATATAAATATACAATGTATGTTACATAAACTCTTCCCTTCGTTTTAAAACATTAAAGGGCCTTTAATATGTGGTCGTATATTAAAAACTGATATGATATATATTTCAATAGACAAGCTTAAACTTTGCAGGTATGTATATCTTGAAAGATAAAATTATACAGAAAATATGGAACCCCGCCTCCACGAACCTCATGCCCAGCAGGAAAACGTTTAATAACCATATAATATTCAAATAGTCTGTTCAAAGTGTGACACATTCATTTATATAAAATCTTTAAAATGAAAACATATTTCTTTCCTAATGTTTTCTTTCAAAGCAAGGATTATGCACTATGAAGCAAATATAATGGTGCTGCCTGGATTTCGCCTCTCCGCTTATAATGTAAATTATAGCGTATTGATAAATGCATTGAGTAATCTTAATGTGTGCGTTCATAATATTCTGTTCATTGAACGTACTTTCAGTTACATGGGTGCTTTTGTACCGGTGTATTTTTCACTACGTTACCTACAATTAAAATGTACATACAACATATATGGAATTTGGCTTTGATATGAAGTAAGTACAATGTCGCAAAATACGATTACGACCGGTTGTAATCAAACTTATTATGGATAAGGTATCGTTCGATATCGTTTCGCTATCTTGTTAAATCCATTCGATATCAAATTAAGTGGGGCATTTGAGGCCCAAAAGATAAATGACAACTGTCGTATACACACACAACATGTCTATAAAAACAACCTAGCCTAAATGTACCACTTCAATGTATACCAATATTGGCCTTTTGTAAATATCAAAAACACATTATTGAAATTCCTGTTGATTCTTCTATTAATTGTTTCATAGAGAGGTTGTAATATATCTTTTTATTTACTGAAGGTATAACTGCATATTTATAAAATCGTGTTCAAAACTTTAAAGAGCCTGAATATACCTGGACTACAAACAGTCTGTTAATAACATAAAATCTTCACATTTTCCTATGTATGCCAGAAATACTCACTTACTGAAGTAATTTGGTACATGTTTTACGGGCATAGACTTTAATATATATTATCTACTTAAAAAGTAAAAATATGGATTTAAAAAAGATTTGATTGTGTCGACTAAGATATTTGATTGGCAAAAAAGGCTTAAACTCAAAGCATAAATCACACAAGTTACACACATATAGAAAGTTAGGTGCCAAGAGTATGTCACATAACGTTATTTTCCAAATGAATGCTAAGGTAGTTGGCCTGTTTAGATAAATGTTGAGACTTCGTTGTTCATCATATATTCATAAAATTAAACACTACATATCAAGATAAATATCTTGAAAAGTGTGAATTGTACCAAAACAAACATTGTATAAAAATACAATAACATGATTTAAACGTTTATAAAAGTTTGAATGTTATGAAAATGTATCAAAAAAAAGAGCATAGGTTCTAAAGTGGAAATGACGTGATGGTAAAGACGCTAATGTGGAATTGCAAACATCTATCATGGATAAAAAGAGTTTCAGAAGTAATGAACATACTCTCCGTTTCACAGAGGGTCCCAGTAAAGCCTGTTACACAGGAGCAGGATTTCGGAGATGAAGACCCACAAGTTCCACTGTTTTGACAGCTTCCTGCTCCGCTGGATTCACAGGTGTCTACAATTAGTAGCAGGAAACGTGTTTATTCTTTTAATAGTGAATTATTTGGAAATATCAATTTTTGTTTCGAAAACTCAATGTATATTGCTTATTGCTGTAATCTATATATCTTAACAATCCATTAACAAGAAATGGAGGCAAGACTGAGGGAAAAGTGTGAATGGTAAGTATCAGAAAAAAACACTGAAAACACGATAAAACACTTTAATATTTCAGAAAAGGTTTTAAAAAAACTTTGAAAGATGACAATGGATGCAACGAATCAACTTTAGCCTCACTTTCCTCCTGAAGGAAAAAAATATGAATTAACTAATTAAACGATTAATTAGATATTCTTTTAAAAACAAATCAAAACCTGCAGGGACTCCTCTTTACCCGCCTTATACAGTGGAATAAAGCAGGTCTATGTTTTTCCCTGAACGTGCAGGGGATGCATGTTCATAATTCAAAAAGGGTCATACTTAGACGAAAAATTGGACAAGCTAACATATTTACTTACAGAATCATCGTAAAGCTATTTAGATAAGTTAATCAATCGTACTAAAAATCTTTCACGATGATTATTTCACAGTAAAATCACAATTTAACAGACTCTGATGTTGGTATTGTAAATAAATAGTTGTTTTTGTATCATCGCCCCTTTCATTTACCTCATAAATCAGATATGACATTAGCTATTACATTAATTACCCAAACTTAGACGCATTTTATATTACTTAACAGAAAGGCTTGAGTTTGATATTAATATATCATTATATTTATAATAGAAGTGAAATTATAGTGTTTTAATGATAAATATTTGAAAACATTAATCTTAATATTTTTATCGTACTTTCTGAAATTAATGACATCATTTATTTACATACAATGTATTGTAGTGAGGCAACGTACCTGTGCATGAGGCACCATAATAGCCGGTGTTACAAATACATGAACTGCCAGAACAAACGAAGTTTCCAGTACAAGGCGGTGTACACAGACCCTCACAGTGTGTACAGAACACTACAACAAGAGGAACCCTATAACGTGACACTGAGCATTCCATTGTATTCGGCTTTACAACAAATAGAGGGATAAAAACGTGACAGTAAAATTACAAAGAGCAGTGATTTCTACGGAATTTTGTTATTAATAATGATTTACATGTATCTGTTGCGTATTTGGTTAGAGGAAAAAATGCATAAAAGTTATTTTACTTCAAATTAAAAAAAAAACATAAAAAATTAAGATCTTCAGTATAAATTAAAACAAAGTTAATGTGATGAGGCTGAATTTTTGTAACCAAGTACATTTTTTTTTCTGATTTTACTTTTATCTCGCGTGCAAAAATAGCATTAGTTATACATAATTTATAGAGAAGTGATATACTCAGCCATTGCTGTAGAAAAGATAATCTATATATTCCTTTGACAAACTTGATTTCCCTTTGATTGTCGAAGGATGGAAACTACAAATATAAGTCTTATATGAGTTTCTGTTTAAAAAAGGGATGAATGAAACGAGTAAATGAGTGTGATGTTTCTCTCGTTAGCTAAACAATTAACTATCAGTTTTATGAAACCCTGTTGCAATGGAAACGAATTGTTCTTACTTTGGGTGAATCTTGTGAAAAAAGAAAGATACTGTTCTAGATCAATAACAATCCTTAAATTTCTGCCACGTTGAATCTATGTATATTGTGACGTCATACGTGACGCCATTTCATTATCACTTTATGGCGTCACAATAGGTCGAATTACATCACTTCATACGCCAATAAAATATGAAATTAGTGTATTCTCTGAATTTGCTGTATTAGTGAATATATTTATATCATGTTACTGTAATCACTTCCTTTTCACAACTACAAATATTAAATCATTGAAGCAATATATAGTTGGTTTTTTTCTCTCGATTAGGAGTCAAAGAATGGAAGCAAAAATAAGAATGCATTGTATATTTAAATGTTTCTGACTAAATAAAATTGGATATTTTCAGTCACGGGTGAAGTATTTTGGGGAACTGTATACTGTTAAATCAGTGCATTCATTAAATACATAAACAATGTATTTATATTATAATTTCTACATAACTTTTTAAAACTAATTGAATTGAACATATGCGCTAGTGAGTAAACATTCATTAAATAATTCTTACCTGCAATTATTATCAGAAGACTGATATTAATACTGATGTCCATGCCCTGCAGAGTAAAATAAACGAAAAGACATTATAAAGATCTAAGTAATATATTGGAGAAAATCAATAGACAAATTATTTCACTTATTGCTAAAAGACGTTTCATTATTTTTTGACAGAAGTATCCACCCACTACAGAAAACCTTATAAAATTGCGGTTAATTTATTCCTAATTGTATATGATTTATTTAGGGAATCATTTGGGATTTATATTTGCAATTATAATTGTTTAATAAACTGATTTAACATATGATATGTTGTCCAGGCTTACAAGACTCCATCGTGCAGGAGTCACTCACAAATCTCTCGTACGAAGTACACCAGGACAATGTGTTGTCCAGTAGCCTCAGACATTTATACTTCTAGCAAACTAGCACCCATTGTCTACGAAGATATCAATAACCTACAAATGTCTTATACTAACCTCTAAAAAGAGCTATAGCTTGTCATAGCTTCTGTAGTTAATACCCAAATGCATCATTTTCTTTCCATAAAAATACTCTTCTTTGAATCGCGCATACAACAAAACGATTGGAAAGCCATAGCGAGCTCTCATAAATTAGAGGCATACAAATGTACCAGTGGGATCATAGTATATAGTTTTTTCTCTGCACCCCATGTGGTTCCCGCCTTGATGTTAAATTTGATTCTGATATTATTTTGCAATAATGTGTCAAAGACTGAATATCTGAAAGAAAATATTTTACTTCCTGGAAAAATGCTTTATGCATACAATTTCCATGATTACAGGAAAAATGTCACTAAATATAGGAGTATTTTCTTTGATTATTAAGGATGGGTGTGCATAAGGCTAAGTTTGGCTTTTCGACTTCCAATAGTCCGTAAACACATTTGTTGGCAGGGGTATTCTATAATAACACATAGTTTGTGGATAAAGGAAAGGTTTTAACCTTAGGTGTTACAGTATGGGGTCTATTAAGAGTTGGGTAAACTACGAAACTATGTAGCTATCAAATTATGCATTCGGCAAAAAAGTATGCAAATTTTGAACAGGAGATATTTCGTAATTCAAATGAACCAACAGAGCCTTTAACATAGAAGAAAGTTGAGCTGCTGAATGTGAGACAGCTGCTACCGTAAGTGATGTCAAATAGGATAACTCTGATATCTGTGATAGATTGAAGAGCAGTGGAATTTTTCACAACACAACCCAGGTATACATTTACACATATTTTTAAGATGGCCAAAGGCGGCCAAGCACATTTGAAGTACTTCGTTTCTGTACCGTGGTACATATTTGTGTAACACAAACAAATCATGTATACATCGTTTCTGTACCATGGTACATTTTTGTGTAACACTAACAAATCATGTATACATCGTTTCTGTACCGTGGTACACTTTTGTGTAACACTAACAAATAATGTATACTTCGTTTCTGTACCGTGGTACACTTTTGTGTAACACTAACAAATAATGTATGCTTCGTTTCTGTACCGTGGTACACTTTTGTGTAACACAAACGAATCATTTATACATCGTGTCTGTACCGTGGTACACTTTTGTGTAACACAAACGAATCTTATCATATTTCCTTTCTGCACCGTGGTGCACATCGATAGGTATTAACCGGAGGTTTATAATGTAAAGGAAAAATTGTGGAAAGCAGAATATAAAACGTACATTTTACTGTGTGATGACATAGCAATGACTGCAGGTGATTGTGTTGATCAGTCATTTAAGAGTACTTATATGAGAGTGTTACGGAACGAGATAATAAAAACATTATTCTTTTGCATTTATAAGGATTTGGTATGAAAACACTCCTTATTTACTGGCACTATGACAAACGCGTACTAACACTCAATAAAGATTATTTAAAAGGTGTATTTAAGTATTATTAGCCCACAGATTGTTTTCAAATATATATCTGCAAAGCTCAAACTAAGTTCAATTCGAATTTCATAGGTATAATACAAGATGTAACTTTAAAATGTTAGGTATGAACTGCATATTAGGTTTTTGTACTCTCCTTGAATGTTTCATTTCATTAGTTCTGATATTACAATGCTGTGCTAATCAATATTCAATTTTGATTAAACAAGTTTGATTAATTGTCATTGGGAAAATATCCATTTAAATTAAATGTGAACTATTTTGGACACTAGTTAAACGAAATGTACAAAAGGCATTTGTAATGTGAAGTGGAATATTGAATTTCATTGAAAATTCTATTAATCGAAATTGAAAGTTGAATATAAACACTTTATCGTATTATCCAATTATACTCTATCTACGCGACACTGTGTACTGAATGACGCAGGTTATGAAGACCTACGTTATTCACTAATGGCTATTTATATTCTGTGGGTAACTCTCGTGTCCAATTAGAGGCGGAGACCTAGCTCATAAAGCAAACAATGTAGACTTTAAGAAAAAGATATTTGATATACAAAAGGTTCGGATGTGATCAAATGAAAACTGTGATTTATTAGGACTAATTAAAATATTTAGTCGTGTCACGTAGCCTACACTTAAAAATGCGTCTAATTGTATATATTTATCATTAAAATGCTCAGGATTATATGCTCTCATATTCATAGCATAATTTATATTGTTTATGATTTAAATAAAAGTTGTTTCCTGCTGATATTTGGCAAAAGCTCACAAATAAAAACCATCTGATGACGGTAGATGTTGATTGTATGTCCTGTCTGATACAACAGCTAATCGTGACCGTGGTACAATGTACACCTTTTGGGTCATTAGCTGTTAGTGGTAACTAACAGCAAGACAAATTATACCACAGAAACGGAGTATAAATGCTACGTTTGTGTACCATACTGAGTTGACCACGCTATTCTTATGAATCATTCCTGATCGCCTCCGACCATCAATAAGAATGATACAAAATGGTTTCATAATAATAAGAAATAGCTACATTAATTAGGACATATGTCGCCTATCATATTAATATTTGATTCATGAAAAGAACAAGGTGTTGTGGAGTTATACTTCGACTGTACACGTAATGGCAAAGGTAAAATCGTATATCCCTTGATTTGGATATAGACCTGTCCTTTACAACACAAATCAAAAGTGTAACTGGTTAGCTTACAGTCCATATGGATGGGATTTTGAAGAATATAAAATTACAATGAGGTCAGATTTACATATCCTACTTTTTATGTTGTAGATCATTCCGTAATGAATTGTAACAGGACAGGTATGCCTCTAATTCTAAACATACCGCGAACCAATGGGCATCTAATAAAAATATTTTTTTACATCATTGACATAAATGAACTGAATGTGTCAAAATCTTATTTCTAAAATACATCCAATTGTTCACGACATATTTAATTTCATGGTTCCAATATAGTATTTTCTTTTTTGATGTTGATCCTATGCTTTAATTGTTTTGCCTTATCTTTGTAATGAATTTATTTATTTTGATTTACATTGTCTATACAATTTATCTATCTAATATTGTGGTTAATTTTATTTTTTGTAAAAATAGTTGTAAACAAAATATGGATTATAATGCCATTTCGGCCATTAAGGAATAATAAGCGGTACTTAAGTTGAACAAAAAATATAGATGTATGTCTGGGGTCTTCGAAACGTTTCCAGAAAAAAAAATGGAAAAGGTTCCTATAAGATGAACATAACACACAGGTGACAGAACCTTCAACATTAGGTAATAGATACAGTATGCATACAAATAAGTTACACTGCATAGTACAGCTGTTTCGTCCTCCTAGGTCTCATAACGCTGCAAATGTATAACCTTTGTTGACACTGAATATTTTGTTTTACTAGTTTGTGCTATAAACCGCGCTAGAATATATCGAAGCTTCATGGTTATGACCAACTTATTCATGCATGGCATGTGTTCCCTATTATTGTGATGCATGCTTCAACGCCACTAGATCATTACAAAAAAACGGATAAATATGACAACGGGAAAATGAACCTCTGAAAAAGACCTGTCACCTAAACCCAAATTACACATTTAGAAAATACCCTGAGAGGTGTTATTATTTACTCAAATTTTGAAGAGAAAGCAAATACTATTATGAATGGCCCGACTAGCGATCATTCCTCTACCAAGTGAATGACCCCTAAGACACAAACATTTAAAAGTATTTGATTCTAAATTGATAACAAGTAGTAGAAGTAATGCGTTGAAATATGAATTTTGTCATTTTGACAAGTCAAGTTCGTATAATCTTTAGTGAAATGATTTATTTCAAAAGCCTTGTCATCTTAATACATCATAAAACAGAGCATGTATAATTATTTTGTTATATGCAATAATTTCATATAAGGGCAAATACATAATTTACTGATTTTTTGTGGATAAATTTATAACGATTTGTCAGTTTTTTCTCATGGCTACATTTCAAGGATCGGTGCGTAAAGCTGTACCTACCCGCGTTTTAAAGGAGTCGTTTTGTGTCAACTTTGACAGGTAATGCATCAATCATCTTTATAATACATCTTGTTGACCACAAAATGAAAAATGTAAGGGTGTCCATCCTTGTACATATGATTTAAGATGGATGTATTAGAAAGTTTGTTTTGACAGATTAAAGATATGACAAATGATGAGCATTGAAGCAAAATTTTAACATAATAAAAATGTTATTTCTAAGCGGAGATAACATTGTTAGAACCAAATCAAATTATAACAATGATGGATTGCTCTTGACTTTGGTTTTACCATGGATCAGTTTTGCAGAATTCTAACACAGAAATTTGTATTTCTGAAACAAGATATCTTGGTGTTTTTTGATAAAAACCAGTAGTAAAATCTCGTACACTGTAATCGTTTTGGTTAAAATTAAAATTATATATTATTATCAAATGATAGATACTTAGGAGAATTAGTATGAAACCCATTGATGAGGCAATAACTTATCATTCTTTGCATCTTAATACCGAATATTGTTATTTACAAGAGTCAAATATAATCATTATGATCTTAATTGCAAATTAAAAGTTTCAGACAACCCTTTTTCCAATTACATATAACTTTAAAATAACACTAACTAGGCCGATCATGATTTATCGATACAAAAAACTGCTCTTCGAAATCAGTGTACATTTTGAGAAGTTGAATATTTAATGTACATATCAGTAAAATGATATGTTGATATGGTATGCATTCCACTAAACTAACGCCCGCCTCACTTCTGTTAGGTAACACACGTCTTGTAGTAAATTACATCTTATTTACGCATATAGGTATATACAACGAAAAGACAAAATATACATAAAATAAATAAAAACTATCTGTTCCCTTGCGTATCGTATGAACTTAAGCTGCATGAGCATTATTACTGCCACCAGGCAGGGACTAACAGTTTGGGAAATAATACACTGGTAAACCCGGTAACACACATGCATATTACAGACTAAGGCCACATTATATCTTTCTTTTGGGCCTGTGCGAGTAACAACCAAGAGAATAAAATGTAAATAAAAACAAAAAATATTATATAAATTAGATGACTGAAAACATAAATCGAATATGTTAGTCTGATTTTTCTAGATTCCCGTCAATATTTTGAAATAACTATTGAAATATCCTTAAACTGTTAGAGGTGTTATTAACAGTGTAATTGAACAAATAAATAAATAATTTAATTCTAAATAAATAATTAAAATAACTAAATAAATGAAAATAAAAATAAATCAACATGATTATTGTGTTTCACATCTAAGCTATTCACGAAAGTGTCAAACTATACAATGTTAGCATCCCTATGATAATGCTGAGCTATACGTATAAAAGCGACGAACTTTCTGAGTCCCAGTTATTTTCAAATAACAGCATACCTATAAGGAAGTAAATAATTTCGAATTCTGAGCTACTACATCTAATAATTAAAACTATTCAAGAGGTACAGAATCAATCTAAGAACTTTTAACACACTTCCATAAAAAATCCAGACGCTAAGGTAAATATGAAACATACATAGAAAGTTAAAAAACAATCTCAATTTTAAACGTTATAAGTACATAGCTATATACATAATGCACACAACGACCAAGTTAATAAGGGAAGAAATGGATATCAGATCAGGTAGGCTCAGTTGTAAAGGTCAATGACAGTGCTATTTACATATCGTTAGAGAAGTATGTAATGCAATACTAGAAAATGTGGAGTGCGTTTTTGTTTTGTCGATTGGGGAATACGGGTTACAATCCAAACACAAGGTTATGCAAACAAACATGGGTAGTACAGTATTGACTCGTTTCGTTCTTTAATAGTCCAATTTTACATGAAAACATATTTATGGAGCATTTTATTTCCTGAACAAGTAATAAAATATAAAGCAAAACATAGATATAGTTTCTGGCACATTGAATACTATTTTCCACCCTAAAATGGCATATAACTATCATATAGGCATTTTCGATTACATGATAAAAGAGAATAAGACAATAAATAAATAAATGTTAAATAAAAAGTAAATAAATATTAAATAAATAAATCGTCATCACACAATCACAAATTCGGAAGTCAAAGTAACATGATAAGACAACAAGAATCAAAGAAGAAGAAGAAATAGAAGAAGAAGAATCAAAGAAGAAGAAGAAGAAGAAGAAGAAGAAGAAGAAGAAGAAGAAGATGAAGAAGAAATAGAAGTAGAAGAAGAATCAAAGAAAACGAAGAAGAAGAAGAAGAAGAAGAAGAAGAAGAAGAAGAAGAAGAAGAAGAAGAAGAAGAAAAAGAAGAAGAAGAAGAAGAAGAAGTAGAAGAAGAAGAAGAAGAAGAAGAAAAAGAAGAAGAAAACAACAACAAAAACATAAGCATCAGGATTTCAGGAAGTGTAAGTGGACCTACACGAGTTCCATGGAGTAGTATGTGGTACCGAATGTCCGCACAGGTGATAGAGATCAGACGTATCAAACTGAATACATACTGTAGGTATACCAAGGTATAATTCAGGCAGAAACGTATAAATAACTCAAATTGACTCCTTTCATAAATATACAACATGGTTTTGCTCCCCTTTCATTCAATTTAAATAGCTTCAATTTTAAATCGACATTCGATAAAGTGCATAAGTTGTGAAAGAGGGATATTGTGAGGATTTTATTGCGCAATATTTTAAGAATATTTACAAAATGATACTTATACATCGATATTGGCAAACATCAGAAAAACAAATTAGTCTATTTCTATTTACCATAAAATAACTTTAAATACGATATTACCGTTAAATGTGATAATGTTTTTTTTGTATTTGGCGGTAAGGTATTTGCAAGAAAAATCGTACTATCTATTTTAATAAAATACAAATGTTCAGGGTTTTAATATCAGAAAAGAAAAGAAAAGAATTAATGGATTTAAATAAAAGTAATGAACGTAAATATTGTCGCATAAATAAGGAATATGACATTAAACCAACAACAATAGTTCTGAAAAAGGACACGCTGACATTAAATAAATCCATTGAAAACATGCCGAAGTGATGTAATGGACTTCCATACGGCATTAAGTAGAAATCACACATTAGTTAAACGATAAAGATTAAATATCTCTTACCTTGTTGTAAATGTATGCTTATCAGAAAAACAGATCACGACTTTAAATGTAGAAAGTTAATCCCCATACATGTTATAGTTCCATAGTAATAATCCAATGAGTATCTCTGCTGCCTGACTCACACTGATAAACGATATAATAAAACCGTGTAGCCCTTTTACGTTTATACACAATCAACCCATACACCGCTTTCAGTCGCGGTTAGCACGACCGTGTCATATCTCGTATGTCCAAACTGGTTGCATGTGTATTACGCCTTCACATGGAACGTTAAATGCTCATTGTAACAAGAAACTTATTCGCACCACCCGAACGGGTGCATTTCAAACTATAACCCTATTTAGTGTAGCTGACATTCCCTATATCAATTTACTGCTCGTAAATTGATATACGAGAATACTGTCTCATCTATTTATATTTTTATCTGCCTATGAAATTGACATCTATTGTCGAAAATGTTCATTTGTTAAAAATGAGGATAGCTTTATCTTTGTAATCAAAAACTATGACATTGTTTTTCGCACTTTAGTGCTAACTTTTGAGATTTATCTGAATGTAATGTGATAAAAACCCCGAAATTCCATTATATTTATTTTGATAAACGATAACCATTTATCTAAGATATAATTAATATTCATGTGGAAACGTCTGACGATTTGTGTTGCTCTGTACTTATACGATCAAGAAATACCCTTTGGATCAATTCTGTAAGAGTGCCGTAAGCAAAATATTACCATATATTATCCTTAAATCATTAATATGTATAATCATTAATAATCTTCGAACACAAACATATTTCTTTTCCTATTTAATAGGCAAAAGTAATGGTGATTTCTGAATTTATTCCATTTCGTTATTGTGTATGTAATATATGCCGTTTTAATTATCGATATCAAAACTATAACGAACATTTCATTTTATCGCAAATGATTTTATATATATTTATTATGAGTATTCAACAGAGTGAAAAAATACATCAAAACACCATATAACAAGGCGTTAACACATCAGGATACAATACAACACTCGTAATAATAACACAAAAGAAACCACGGGGTCAATGCATTGATCAAAATACACCAAAGAGTCTACACACAACGACAAAAAAAAGCTTCAACACACATCAATAAAATACACCACAACTTCAACACACATCAACAAAATACACCACAGCGTTAACACACATCAACAAAATATGCAACAACGTCAACACATCAACAAAATATACCACAGCGTCAACATAAATCAACAAAATACACCACAGCGTCAATATACATCAACAAAACACACCACAGCGTCAACACATCAACAAAATACACCACAGCGTCAACACACATCAGCAAAATATGCAACGGCGTCAACACATCAACAAAATACACCACAGCGTCAACACATCAACAAAATACACCACAGCATCAACACACATCAACAAAATATGCAACAGCGTCAACACATCAACAAATTACACCACAGCGTCAACACACATCAGCAAAATATGCAACGGCGTCAACACATCAACAAAATACACCACAGCGTCAACACATCAACAAAATACACCACAGCATCAACACACATCAACAAAATATGCAACAGCGTCAACACACATCAACAACATACGTCACAGTGTCAACATACACCACAACGTATGCAACAGCATCAACACACATCAGCAAAAAACACCAAGGATTCGACACACATCAACAAAATACACCACAGCGTCAATACACATCAACAAAATATGCAACAACGTCAACACGTCAACAAAATATGCAACAGCGTCAACACACATCAACAACATACGTCACAGTGTCAACATACACCACAACATATGCAACAGCATCAACACACATCAGCAAAAAACACCAAGGATTCGGCACACATCAACAAAATACACCACAGCGTCAATCCACATCAACAAAATATGCAACAACGTCAACACGTCAACAAAATATGCAACAACGTCAACACATCAACAAAATACACCACAGCGCCAACACACAACAACAAAATATGCAACAACGTCAACACGTCAACAAAATATGCAACAGCGTCAACACACATCAACAACATTCACCACAGCGTCAACACACATCAGGAAAATATGCAACGGCGTCAACACACATCAACAAAAAACACCATGGCTTCGACACACATCAACAAAATACACCACAGCGTCAACACACATCAACCAAATATGTAACAACGTCAACACATCAACAAAATACAGCACAGCGTCAACACACACCAACAAAATATGCAACAACGTCAACATATCAACAAAATACACCACAGCGTCAACACACATGAACAAAATACACCACAGCGTCAACACACATCAACAAGATACACCCCGGCATCAACACACATCAACAAAATACACCACAGCATCAACACACATCGACAAAATACACCACAGCGTCAACCCACATTAACAAAATACACCACAGCGTCAACACACATCAGCAAAATATGCAACGGCGTCAACACACATCAACAAAAAACACCATGGCTTCGACACACATCAACAAAATTCTCCACAGCGTCAACACACATCAACCAAATATGTACCAACGTCAACACATCAACAAAATACAGCACAGAGTCAACACACATCAACAAAATATGCAACAGCATCAACACACATCAACAACATTCACCACAGCGTCAACACACATCAGCAAAAAACACCATGGCTTCGACACACATCAACAAAATTCTCCACAGCGTCAACACACATCAACCAAATATGTACCAACGTCAACACATCAACAAAATACAGCACAGCGTCAACACACAAAGACAAAATACACCACAGCGTCGACACACAACGACAAATTACACCACAGCGTCAACACACATCAGCAAAATATGCAACAGCGTCAACACACATCAACAACATTCACCACAGCGTCAACAGACATCAGAAAAATATGCAACGGCGTCAACACACATCAACAAAAAACACCATGGCTTCGACACACATCAACAAAATACAGCACAGCGTCAACACACATCAACAAAATATGCAACAACGTCAACACGTCAACAAAATACACCACGGCGTCAACACACATCAACAAAATACACCACAGCGTCGACACACAACGACAAAATACAACACAGCATCAACACACATCAACAAAATACACCACAGCATCAACATATGCAACAACGTCAACACGTCAACAAAATACACCACAGCGTCAACACACATCAACAAGATACACCACGGCATCAACACACATCAACAAAATACACCACAGCGTCGACACACAACGACAAAATACACCACAGCATCAACACACATCAACAAAATACACCACAGCGTCAAAACACATCAACTAAATACACCAAAGCGTCAACACACATCAACAAAATATGAAACAGCATCAACACCCATCAACAAAATACAACACAGCGTCAACACACATCAGCAGAATATGCAACGGCGTCAACACACATCAACAAAATACACCACAGCGCCAACACACATCAACAAAAAACACCACAGCGTCAATACACAAAGACAAAATACAGCACAGCATCAACACACATCGACACGTCAACACACATTAACAAAATACACCACAGCGTCAACACACATTAACAAAATACACCACAGCATCAACACAGATCAACAAAATACACTACAGCCTCAACACACACCAACAAAATACACCACAGCATTTACACACATCAACAAAATACACCACAGCGCCAACACACATCAACAAAAAACACCACAGCGTCAATCCACAAAGACAAAATACACCACAGCATCAATACACATCGACAAAATACACCACAGCGTCAACACACATCAGCAGAATATGCAACGTCGTCAACACACATCAACAAAATACACCACAGCGCCAACACACATCAACAAAAAACACCACAGCGTCAATACACAAAGACACAATACACCACAGCATCAACACACATCGACAAAATACACCCCAGCATCAACACATCAACAACATATGCGACGGTGTCAACATACATCAACAAAATACATCACAGTGTCAACACACATCAACAACATACACCACAGAGTCAACACATACTAACAAATTACGCCACAGAGTCTACACATACTAACAAATTACGCCACAGAGTCTACACATACTAACAAATTACGCCACAGAGTCTACACATACTAACAAATTACGCCACAGAGTCTACACATACTAACAAATTACGCCACAGAGTCAACACATACTAACAAATTACACAACAGAGTCAACACATACTAACAAATTACACAACAGAGTCAACACATACTAACAAATTACACCACAGCGTCAACACATACTAACAAATTACAACACAGCGTCAACACATACTAACAAATTACGCCACAGAGTCAACACATACTAACAAATTACTCCACAGAGTCAACACATACTAACAAATTACACAACAGAGTCAACACATACTAACAAATTACACAACAGAGTCAACACATACTAACAAATTACACAACAGAGTCAACACATACTAACAAATTAAGCAACAGAGTCAACACATACTAACAAATTACACCACAGCGTCAACACATACTAACAAAATTCACCACAGAGTCAACACATACTAACAAATTACGCCACAGAGTCTACACATACTAACAAATTACGCCACAGAGTCAACAAATTACACCACAGAGTCAACACATACTAACAAATTAAGCAACAGAGTCAACACATACTAACAAATTACACAACAGAGTCAACACATACTAACAAATTACAACACAGCGTCAACACATACTAACAAATTACTCCACAGAGTCAACACATACTAGCAAATTACACCACAGAGTCAACACATAGTAACAAATTACACTACAGTGTCAACACACATCAACAACATACACCACAGAGTCAACACATACTAACAAATTAAGCAACAGAGTCAACACATACTAACAAATTACACAACAGAGTCAACACATACTAACAAATTACAACACAGCGTCAACACATACTAACAAATTACAACACAGCGTCAACACATACTAACAAATTACACCACAGCGTCAACACATACTAACAAAATTCACCACAGAGTCAACACATACTAACAAATTACAACACAGCGTCAACACATACTAACAAATTACACCACAGCGTCAACACATACTAACAAATTACACCACAGCGTCAACACATACTAACAAATACACCACATCATCAACACATCAACAACATATGCAGCAGCATCAACACACATCAACAAAATACTCCACAGCGTCAATACACATCAACAAAATACACCACAGCATTAACACATCAACAACATACACCACAGCGTCAGTACAT